TTTTTTTCTCTCTGGGTTTCATGGTTCCACATTCTTAGGAAGATGGTGTGGTTATCAAAGGCGCCTCTTAGGGTGACATTTTTTGCGTGGACCGCAGCTTAGGGTAAGATCCTGACTTTGGACAATTTGAGAAAGAGAAGGCATATCATTGTCAATCGGTGCTGTCTCTGCATGATTAATGGAGAGTCCGTGTATCACCTTGTGCTGCATTGTCCTGTGGCCCACGACTGTTGGAGTCTCAATTTCGGTCTGTTTGGTGTCGTCATGCCCCAGACCACTAGGAAATTGATGGACATTTGGAGGGGCCAATGGGTGGGGGTGCATGCTAGAGAATTTTGGAGGGCGACTCCCCTTTGTGTTTGGTGGAGTCTTTGGAGAGAGCGAACTAGAAGATCTTTTGATGAGGAGGTGTCCTCTATTAGGGTGCTGAAATTCTCTATTGTTTGTACCTTTTTTTGTTGGGGCTGGGGGAGAAATTATTCTTCTTTTGTGGAAATTGTGGATTTTTTGGGCTCTTTGAGTTCATAAGTCTTTTCCACTTTCTTTTTTCTGGTTTGTGTACAGCTCTTGGGACGTGTTCCCCTTTTGAACGCCTTCTAATACATTTTACTTATCAAAAAAAAAAAAAAAATTCCTATATGATTGCTTCGACCTAAACTATACACACACCCCTTCATGTGTGCCCAAACTGTCTCTGGCTGAAACACATGCAATTAGTAGAGATATCAAGTAGATTTGAGCCTAGAACCTCCTTTTTGTAATATTTTATTAACAACCAACTCCTTAACAAGCATTAACTATTGAACAATGAGCCCAACAAAATAAATTAACTCTCACACCTTCTCTTCGGTAAGACACCCACTCACACATGGAGAGACAAAAAAATAGAACAGAATGCAAAGAGATAGAAAAGGAATGGGGATACCAATGCATCAAAAGATAATAAATCCCTACTTATAAAAAAATAAAAAATAAAATAAAATAAAAAGACAATAAATCCAAAGGCTCCCAAAACCAAACTTTGATACCATGTCAGACAACTACTTGTTCGCTCAGCTTAAGCAGTCAAAAAATGACCCAAAAGGTGTACATCAAGCTCACATACTGTCCCTCGTGCAGGAGACATCCATATGATAGGGAGACTCCTTTATAGGGCAAGGTGCAAACAAACAGATATAATGGAGGAATAAATGCAAACAGAAAGACTCATACCAAAGACCTACCAATGTCAAAGAAAGATCTGAAACCATTTTAGAAAGCCTACTACTCTAAAAACTCTAATACCATGTTACAGAGGGTGTAAGTTACGTCTTTATATTACCAATGCATAATATATCTACCAATTTTAATAAACCAAGTTAGCATGTCTGTCCTACCCTATTGCCATCTCTACCTATATAATAGTATAACTACAAAGGCTTTTTATGCTGGAAATCATCTTTGCAAAACTCACTAGATGAGTTTATTATACAACTGACTGATTACACTAAATATTAATGATCTCCTCTCTCTCTCTTTTTTTTTTCTTATATATTCAATATAGATTTTGTCAGCATATACTCCATACAGTATGTTTATTGTACAGTTTTCAAATTATTCAAAATGTTAACATTTTTGAATAAAAACCTTTATCAATACTATTACAAACATGAAAAAAAAACATAAATATCAAATAATTGCTCTATCATTTGTCAAGGAATGTGTTAAATATATGAAGCTAATTAATTAATGACCATCTCATTATGCCACCAACAATGCACCAGAGAGACTGAAACACCTCATAATCATCCTAGGGAACAAGTTCAGGTCTGATAAATAGAATACGATAAATTCTTGCAAAACAAGACATGGATATACGGGATGTGGACATAACATGATAAATACACAACAATACAATACGATAAATTCTTGCAAAACAAGACATGGATGTTGAGCAATCATACCAAATCATGGATTCAATGGAGAAAATTGAACAATCATTTAACTAATAGGACCAACTTTGTAAGTGACATCTCAAATCATTGACGTTGAGCAATCATACCAAAATCTGTTCTAACAATCAACTACCTGATCATTCGTTCGTTCATATTGTTTTGTCCCAATGGAGAAGGATCACTTTGTTGTGGCACGTTCATCATTTGTTCGCCCTAAAAATAGAACAAGATAAGTTAATAATGTGATTAGATATTTACATAAAAATAACAATAATAATGTGATTACAAACAAAAGAATAAGTAATTGCAATAGCAAACGGGCAAAACAAACAAAAATAAAAATTGAACAATCACCATGTCAGAAGGACCCTCATTATGCTCCAGATTTTCTTGTTGGCGTGCTTAGAACATATCATAAAATATCAACCACCACTCATGTAGAAAACCATCAGGAACATCTATTGCTGAAACTCCAAAAAAAAAAACCTCGGATATGAGTATGGATCATTTGGAGCATAAAAGCACAGCATGATGTTCAAAATATCACCCAAAAAAAGGTCTTGATGCTTATTCATGTTATATACTCAAAGCAACATCATGATAAATAAATATAGACACAAGTCCAAACACAAACAAATAATTAGGAGTATCCACCGATCGGATCCATTCAGTTTAGACACCAAACCTAAACCAATCCGATTCCTATGGATTGGTGACATTTGAATCTGAACCGATCCATGGAAAGCGTTAATCTGATTCGATCCGTGAAATATTGGTTTGGTTCTTTGGATTGGTCTTTTCTAAAGGACCCAATAATTTTTTTTTCTTAACCATGGCCCAATAAATGAAGTATAAATTTATCAAACATGAGTTGATATGTTTAGAATTAACAATAAAATAAAATAAAGTAAATCACCACCAAATGATCATTGACGCATTCAACAACATGCAATAACAAAAGCAATAGCCCAACATCATTATAACCAATTTGAAATAAATGCTTGTGGGTTTAAGATTATAAAACATATTTAATATATATATATATATATAATATTTGTATATATTAGATTATTAACGGATCGGATCAAATTTTGAGACCATAATCCGTGAACCAATCCGATCCCTACAGATTTCTATTTTATGAATCCATCACCAAACCAGTGGGCAGATCGTATTCACAGATCAAGTGAACAATCCTACAAATAATCATATACATATATACACAGGTGAGCAAGAAACTTATCCATAGTGACATTGGATATGATTGCTATGTTTTCTGGTAACTACCTTTTTACACTTGGATCATCTCTAAAATTTCTTGTTCACCACCAGTTGCAAGAGATATTTTTGTATATAAATCTATAAATAAAAATCTGAGAGTGTCTATGAGTAAGAAACTATAAAGCAATAAGCGTTAGAAAAATAAGAAAAGCGCATCTTAAACTTTAAAGATTGGACATTGATCTTGTGAGAGTAAACCTAGCAAAAATAAAATAAAATGGTAAGCATGCCAACATAAGAAAGTACCAGACATTGCTATGAAATGAAGTACCTGATCTTTTATTGATCATATGATTCATACCCACTAAAAAAAAGTTCAAGCTGAATCAAATATATAGCGAACATAGAAACAAGAACCAGTCGGTCACAAAAACCAAAACAAAAGAAGTAAAAAAATAGGTACGAAAGAAAGGAAATAAAACTATCATGCCATTACCTAAAAGAGTGTTGGGATCGATGATCAGATCTGCCTCTCTACGAAAAATCTCGGCAGTTTCATGCATGTCTCTTTTTCTCAAATAATCAAAAAGATAGCGCTCAAACCTACAAAATTAGACCAATCAAGTGTTCAGATAATCAAGAAACAGAGAGATCAACGGTTCAGATTACACACACTTGAACACGAACAAACAATAGAGCTGAAGATGGATGAAACTCACATTACTCGACTGTTCCATCCGCTAGGGCTGCTCATGACTGCTATCGAAACCTCTCACTGAAATGATCTTCAACAAACAGAGACTAGGGCGTGGCGGAGAACACGAGACTGAAAATCGACTCAAGAAAACCCTAATTTATGCTCAAGAAAAACCAAGCCACTAATGCATGTATGTGATGTGCTGTAGAGAGAGCGCACTGCCAGATGGTTACAACGTAGGAGTAAATGCAGATCCCACAGCGGCTAAGGAAGAACCAAATGAATAGTCCAAGTTCAAATTTACAGTTGGCGAGAGCGATCGACCACGCGTCAATATTACGAGGGCACAGGTGTCATTTTAATCGAAAATGAAAGGAATTTGTTTTTGTTTTCATTTGGATATAATTTTTGGTCAGTTTATTGAAGTAATCATAAATACAATTAATAATTTTTAATTTAAATTTATAATTAATTTATAATATATTTTAAAATTGTATTGAATTCAATTCTTCTTAAAAAATTATTCCAAAATCACTTTATCTTGTAGTATTATCTAATTAAAAATTAAAATAGTCAAATTTTAAATTCACGTATCTGACCAAGTCACGCCACCCCAACATATTAAAAAAATAATAATTTGTGGTTATTAGATTTTCACATGAGCCATGCACGATGTCACATAAGTTGCAATTTTATAATTAGTTTTGATTAGACTAATTAAAATTTTGTTGACCAAGCCTGTCCACCAGGATTTAAAAACGATTTCAAAAAATTAAATTTAAGAGACATATATGAAAGAATGAAAAAAGAAAAAATAATAATAAATTATGCAAGATAAAGGCATCAATGACCGTGATAATGAAATATGCCTTCCAAACTATTCAAAAATTGAAGCACCAGATGATGTTGCCAACATTTACCCCTTATATAAGTATAAAATAATTCAAGAAAAATAATAAAATAAAAAGAATAGATTTCATTCTAAGAAATTTTGTCTAGAGAAAATTCATTCTTTTAGATATTTCCAAAACACAGCCTGTTATTTTGAATCACTGATCTAACTGAACCTTGAGACACCTTTTTTTTTTTTTTTTTTGACTAGAACAGCTGCTGTTAATGTACATCTTTCCCATTTCTCAAAAAAAAAAAAATAAATAAATAAAAATTAACCAGTGAATAGTCCGTGTATAGTATACAGATCATCCAAGAGACATTGCTAAAGAGCATGCTATTGATTTATTATTATCGTTTTTTTTCCCGGAAATTGAGTAGGCTATTGATTGTCATACAACAAGTTTATCTCTTTTCTTCCTCCAAATCCCTCACTGTACATCAAGAAGGAAAGGCAGGCAAATGCCTTCAGGCTACGATAAACTACACCCCAGTAATGTACAAGCTAGCTGCGAAAACAATATCACGCTTTATAGCGTTCGAGGCCGATTCCATCTTCTTGTACAGTGCAGTATTACCCATAATTGCTGCAGCATTTCTAAATTCACGGCATGTCTCATCCAGTCTGACAATGGTCCTCACTATCAGACCTTCAGGAACATCTGTAAGCTCACATATATCTGCAAATGGAGTTCCCTGCCGTAGGAAATATAATTACATAAATGAGTCATTCAAGGAACAAGTGACAATTGTAATTTGTACACTCTTAACAGGGAAAAGATCAAACCTTTGCCCATTCGTACACCACTTCAACAAGACCAAACTTGAGATTGTCTCGAGCATACTCTTCAGGGTCAATCTGTAGGTTGAACTGTGCTTGAAGCTCCGCGAGTCTTATGGCCGTGTTGTACAATCTAAGCGCATGGAAGAAAAAAAAAAAAAAAATGAATACATCAAATATGTGAAGATGTTCAGACAATTTTTTCAGACACGCACACAAATACGCACACAGAGCATAAGCTTTAAGTCAACAGTTCAAATCCCGTCATATAGGTTTGACCGTATTAAACAGTAATTAGTTACCATTTCCCTTCTAGGGAGAGAGAGAGCATGTGATGTCAATCATCACATGTTCCCTGAGTGACCAGCAGAAACGCATGGTTCAAATTGAAGTTAATGATCAGGGAAAACATTCCTATGTAAGAAGTTGGAACTCTAAGCACCTTATCTCCAGTATTGTTACTTTCACGCTATATTACATGAAGTTGGATGCCTATGTTGGGTGTGGTTATGTATCTAAGCTTCATACCTCCCAATTCCGAAACTTAAGACATGGGAACTTGACTTTAAATGTGACTAAAATTTATATGCAAACGTATACACATTCTGTGTAAATAGATACAATATATGTTACATAATAGTTCAATGTATGATATTGTTGTTCCTTAAAGATATACTCCTATTTGAATTAAAGGGGATGTGGTTTCTGCTATCGAATTTGAGCTTCTCTTTTTCTTCTTCCACCATCACATGCAAAAGGTTGGTATTGTCCTATTTGAGTTTGTTATGGGACATATCCCATATCCCACACCCATGTCATGCCGTGTATAAAAGCATACATATAAGAGAGCCCATGTAGCACAGCTTTCAAGGAGAACCAAATGTCACAAGTCAAAGCTTTTATGGGTAGAAAGGAAAAAAAGAAAAATAACCTCTGTTTAGCCTCTAATAGCTTGGGAGTAAAAGAAGGTTCTGAAGTGTTCTTCTGCTGAAACACAAGGGCAGACATTATTGCTACCGCTTCTTCTGGTTCCAGTTCATCCAGTTGATTCTCAAACAAGCACTCTGTGCATATCAACTCCTCCCCAGAATTCATCTCACAAGCTACACGCCCCTTGACCTGGACTACAAGGTCAGCATCCACACAGCCAATTTCCTTCAAAACGTTTATCTGCAAAGCCACACATAAGACATTAAAGGACTTCTTGCATCTGTGAACTTGCACCAAAAAACTAACTGCCGTGAAACAAGAACAATTACAAAAGAAAATAACTTATCATTGACACATACCCGACCCAGAAAGTCCGGCATCTGCTGAAGGGCTTTATCTGACATTTGAAACTTAAGAGCATTAACTTCTTCTTTGTGCTTCTTTACCTCTTTCGCTAACTTAATGTGCTCCTCCAGTTTAACACAGCCATGACACTTATTTTGGGACATATTTTGCAATAGACTATTCCACTTGTAGTAAGAATCCACAAGATCCATGTTATTCAGCTTCAGATCTGATATACAATCTCCATAAAAAAACTCACCCTTGCAAAAGTAAAACTTTGAAGAGAAGATAAAAGTAAACATATAGTACAAACATATATCTAAAAACACCACAATCCTGTAAAACTCTCTATATGTTTATCTGTGCTTGTGTGCACATAGGTATTGATATATATAAAGAGAGAGAGAGAATCACACTCAAAATGACAGCTTTCTTTTCAACATATTCGACATAGGCCAAATTGGTAAAACTGGCAATTCGATATGGGAGGAAAGACGAACCTTTCAATGGATCTAATGCTGGAGGGTATTTATTTCCATCAGATTTCAAACCCAATAGCTCTTGAACAGTTTTGGAATAAGCAGCACTGCTCACGACTTCAAGAAGCCGAACTTGGTCAATCTTTATTTTGCAATTGCATATAGATAGGAACTCCTTATTATCGATTCCTCGAACCTCATAATTCACCCCAGCAGAACTACCACGGTGAGGTAACGTTATGTTGATATTACCTGAGCCTTTTTTCGAAGTGAGAGAAGAACAATATTCATCATCCAAACCACGTTTCGATTTTGGCATCAATATCTGGAAATTGACGCTTTCTTTATCTTGTGAAAAACCACTCGACAAAGGAGTTTCCAATGTTGCTGGTAATTCAGGAGTCAGCACTAATACTATATATTGTTTAATATTACTGGAAGGAGCTTTCAAAACGACTCCAAGTAAGTGGTCCTGGGCCTGTCAATGGTGAACAAATTTCAGCAACAATTATACATTTTATATTTTAATATATTCATAGAAACTTTAGTGCAGATTTTCAGTACATAGGAAAAGGAATGACACTGTACTAGTGGCACATATAACACGGGACTAGAAACCAAGATAACCAATGCATGTGGGCTAGACCAGAAAAGATAGCATGTGAGCTTTGGCCAATGCATGAATCCAGAAAATGATGCATATAAAGATTCCAAGAGAGTAGGTACATGAGACTATGAGAGAGAAAATCTCATACTGAATATTGGCCAAAGCAAAGGGTTTCCTCCGGTTAATAATTGAATCAGAAATAAACCCTTCCAGAAATTGCAACACTAATCATCCAGTTCGACCAGGTTTGCTGATGGACCATACTCCATCATCCAGCTCGACCAGGTTCGCTGATGGACCTTACTTCTTTTAGCGGTGGCACTGGGCAGGAGAAACAGCGGTTAGCCAAGTCTACAGCTTCACTACTGAAACCTATTCCAAGGGAGAATGTAATGGCGACAGGTCAGAGGACTGGCAAAGTAAGTGCCAAGGGAAATATACTAATTCCAACTGAGACTTACGAGCCCTTAGAGCTGAAGACGTACAGCTACCTCATTTTTAAGGTAGAAATCAGATTTTTGAGCAGTGATCTTTCTTTTGACGACTTATAACTTAACAGGATGGATAAATTGCTCTATCTTTAGTAGAAAGGACAAAGAACAGGATATAGTATCGGTTCATTATGAAATAACCACGAGGCAATCTAATGATACCCAAGAAAATGCCCAACTAGATTACCAAATAAACCAGAGAACCTCAAATAATAGTAGTTTAAAGCACCAAATGTATACGATGAAAAATGACTGCAAGAAGAATTGCAAGGATGCAACCATCACTCTCTTTAAGATCTCTAATAGAACAGCAACATTGGTACCAGGTAAGTACAAGAACAGTTCTTTATGATACTTGATGTCTTGTAATGCAGCCCATCGAATTGTAGAAAAGTCAATAAATGCTAAATGTATCACATTTTATTATGCATCAGGGAAGAAGTGCTTCTCTATAACTCTATAACTGCAAAGTTGAAGTTAATCTACGTAAGAAGTAAATCATTATTTAATTTCTACGTAGTTACAATACAAATTATGAACTTAACTCTAACAAGAGAGAGAATACAAAAACCCACAAGTCAGCATTACATAACTTGCTGCCATACCATGTATATATAAGAAAATAATGCTAGAATTCAACTGACAAAGGGACAGAAATAGGATCCTAAGCCAGGTAGTTCCTGATCTCTGCGAACAAAGACCAAAAAATCAGATGATAGAATAATATAAAGCCCCTTGAGCTAGTTCCGGATCCATGCCAAAATGATGAGCAGTACTCACAGCAACAAAAACTAGCAACACTTCAGGATACAAATACTGGCAATCATGACCCCTAACCCCACACCCCCTGCCCAGCTCCCCATCAAAGAAAAGGAATAATAATAATAACTACAAGGAAAGAAAAAGAAAATAAAAGTAAAAAACCATATTACAATCATATGTGATATAAAATTGAATCATTAAAAATTACTATCTGTAAATAAGAACTCACTGACTGTGACTTCACGACTACTACTCTTCCAGGAGTAAGAAAATGTTGGGAAGCCCCTGACTGCATGACCGCCTCCGTTATATTCTTGCTATATTTCTCAGCCTCCAGGAACATCTCATAATATTCCTCAATTGTTGGTTCACCCTTTATACATCTAGGAGCAAAAAAACACGCTTCATGAACAATACGAACAAATTGTAGTTCCATAGGAGAATACCTTCCAAATTAAAGATAAATAGGTTCCCATTTGCTCATATACTAATAGTTATAATAGTCAACAAAAATATGATTGTGAAGTACGAATTTCTAAATTTTTGGAATAAAGATAGCCATGACATATTTATTATTGTTACAATATAATAATATCCTGCAAGCAAAAAAACAGAACCAAGTCCCATGTCCTCTCAATTTCTATATGATAGAAGTGTACAAATAAAGTGACCTCACTAGAGTCATATATTTTATAAAACAGGAACAGCTTGATATTACAATTCCACAAGAACTACATCGCAAACTCAGATTATTACTGCCGTATGCCACCCCTTCTCCACTGAAAATTCATATTGTTGTCCACTGTCACTCACTAATGGGTATCACCTCAAAAATGCTTTTTAAAATCCAGATTTAGAAATCTCGCACCATGGAATGGGGGAAGGGTCTCCAAGTATTCAAATGAACACAGAATACGCATTAAAAAATCCTAAGACCAAGAAATCTAATCTGCCAAATAAAAACTTTTCAAAGCACAGTATTGGAGAGCTGCAAGTTTTGCAGAAACTAAATCTTTATTTAAGGCCAATCTTTATCATCACATTTATATAAATATAACATTTTCACATATCACTTGGCAAACAATAGTTCAATCAATTAAAGCATCAATATGCCTAGCAAGGCCCAGACTACATCTAGGGCTGCAAAAGAGTTGAGCCGCGCTGACCTTTTGGTTGTACAAACTCGATCTCGAGTTTGGTTGTTGAGCTCAAGCCCGAGCCCAAACAAGTATTTGAGTTCGGCTCGAACATTACTCTTCGAGCTTCAGCTCAGCTCGTTTGATCAATTTTGATCCTAATCTCACTTATCAAAAAAAAAAATCAATTTTGATCCTAATCTCAAACTCGAGTTTGAAATCAAGACTGTTAAGGAGAAAAAATAATTAAAAATCCAAACAATTCCTAATAAACAAGGCATGCTCATACCTTTATCGAGCTTGCTCACAAACACGTCTTCCTAATAGTCTCTCGCAGCTGTTTTAGGGTGTAGGGCGAGTTGCTTCCCTATTTCTTATTTAGGCTTGCCTTTGGGTGTCTCGACAAGAAGGGTGGGAAGCTAGGACCTGGTGATTGAGCGATTCGAGAAAAGGTTGGCAGGATGGAAAAAGTAATACGTTTCGAAGGGGGGAAAAGTTACTCTGGTGAAGAGCACTTTATCTAGTCTCCCAACCTATTTCCTGTCGCTCTTCCAGATCCCTTCTGCTATTGTTGGAAGACTTGAGATGTTTCAACGAAATTTCTTGTGGGGCGGTAGAGGAGAGGAGTTTAAGTATCATCTTGTTCGATAGGAGCAAGTTGGTAGGCCCCTCAAGTTGGGAGGCTTAGGGATTAGGAGATTGGCCCCTTTCAACAAGGCGCTCCTAGGCAAGTGGCTTTGGAGATTCGGCAGTGAACGTAGTAGGTTATGGAGAAAGGTTGTTTCTTGTCGATTTGGAAAGGAGAGGGGAGGATGGTCAGCTAGACCGGTCAAGTCTGCTATAGGCGTGGGGGTTTGGAAATCCATTAAGAGAGGTTGGGATGATTTCTCAAAGCACATTAGATTCAGAGTCCGGGAAGGAAGGGATATTCGGTTTTGGGAGGATGCTTGGTGCGAGGACCGTCCTTTGTCTCGTCTGTACCCGAGGTTGTTCAGGATTGTTGTTGATAGACATGCTATGGTTGTTGACTGTTATCGCCTTGATAGCGGTAGGTTGTCTGGGGATGTTCAGTTTCGGCGATCCTTTCAGGATTGGGAGTTGGATGATGTCATTGGTTTGTTGGATCTTCTGTATAGACAGGAGGTGGATGGCACCGGGCCGGACTCATTGACTTGGGTGCTTTCTCCTCAGGGGAAGTTCCAAGTCCGGTCCTATTTTCACTAGCTTTCAGATTTTCGTGGACCCACCTTCCCGTGGAAAACGGTTTGGCGCTCGATGGCTCCTCTTAGAGTGGTTTTTTTTGTGTAGACTGCTGTTTGGGGCAAGATTTTGACTCTGGACAATTTAAGGAAAAGACGACATGTCATCGTTAACCGGTGTTGTATGTGCATGAATGATGGAGAGTCTCTGGATCATTTTCTCTTGCACTGTCCCATGGCTCACGACTGCTTTGGGTCTCTTTGGTGTCTAGTGGGTTATACCCCGGGCCTCAAGGGATCTGATTGATAGGTGGAAGGGTCAAAGGGTGGGAGCGCGCGCTCGTAATTTTTGGAGGGTGATTCCCCTTTGTATTTGGTAGAGTCTTTGGAAAGAACACAATCGTAGATCTTTTGATGGGGAGGGGACCTCCACTGGGGCTTTGAAGTTCACTATTCTTTGCTCCCTTTTTAGTTGGGGAATGGGGCGAGATTGTATTTCTTTGGATGAGATTATGGACTTTTTGGGGTCGTTGGGTTCATAGATCTCATTTTCTTCTCATTTTTCGTCTTTGTACAGTTCTTGAGACGCGTTCCCCTTTTGAACGCCTTCTATTTCAATTTTACTTATCAAAAAAAAATAAATGAACATGTTCACAAGCCTAAAAAACTGATCCATAGATTGTCCAGGCTTGAATCGCTTATTAGACAAGCTTAAAAAAAAAAGTTTGAGGCTTGTTTGCTAGCCTAGCTTAAATCAAGAAATGCCTAAGCTATTCATAAACAACTTGGCTCATTTGCAGCCCTAACTATATCCCTCAGTAGGGGCCGCAAAAGTTGACTGTACCCATCAACATGACTCAAACCAAACATGAAATTAGCAAATTTGGGATAACCTTAATCATCTTCACGTAATCATAGCAAGCCGATTCATGTTCAGGTTTTAGGACTTAACTCATTTAACCCAATTCGACTCATTTAATTAATCGTGTCATAATTGCATAGTATCAACCTCAATGGAGATAAAATGGAAATTTTAGTCACTTCATAAAATTTTTATTCAATCTTTAAGTATTTTTTTGTTATATTTGCATTTTATAATTAAGAAAAAATAGTAAATAGATTGTTAAACAAGTTGTGTCTTATTACATGTTATAAAATCCATTTATTAAACAAGTTACACAAGTCTTGTCGTTTTAGCAATTTAATAACGACCCATCCATTTCAAGGGTGCAAGACCTTTAACAAATGTGTCAAGTTTGGGTTGACCAACTTGACCTATATCACAAAAAACTAATATTTCGGCACGACAAAAACACAATCATCGACTTGAATTGCCACCCTATCCCTAAGACACCAGTTAGTACAGATAAATGTTTGAACTTGCAAAACTAAACAACCTATGAAGTACACAATCTAAGAAGCATAGACACCAATCAGACTCCAATAAAGCCCTCAGACTTGTGCTTTCTAGTAGGCTACTGGATCGAATGAAGCACGCCTTTTATTTTTTGTCATTTATTTCATATAATTTTTTTTAATAACTATTAAATTAAAATGTTCAATGTCATATCATGATCATACTTAATGGATCATGTTGTTCAACTTTATAAAATATTACCTTCCGGGAAAAGGAAAAAATATATATATATATATCTTTATAAAATATTTAACAAAATTCACAACTTTATGGTTCACTGCTTGCATTAAATGCATTTAGTGCTTGATTCTGAATATTTACGATAAATATGATTTAAGATTTGCATGATTAAAGTTTTTAATTGTTTAAGATTTATAATCACATTTAATTTGGTTAATGCATGTGCATATGAAAGGATTTATGAGTATTAATTTACTTGATCCTCTTAGTTGACATATCAAAAATCCCATTATTATTTGTGTCGCATATCTTGAATTGTTCCAATTGCACATTGATTTTATTGAAAACTTTTGTGAATAGAAAAGATATATGTATGTTGATTTAGCTAATCCATTGAATTGATATGTTGAAAATATTCCCAATTTTGATATTGACAAGTTTGCGTCGCATAGTTTATTTATTCTTTATATACTTATTAATATGCATTATTACACAAGTGCCTTACTTTGATCAGCTCGTGCCTTGAGCTTAGGCTCCAGGAGACCTTTGGCGCACAGGCGCCTTGAGCCTTTAACAACTATGCTTCATAGACACTCACAAACACATGGCTGCCACCTTGTGGATGTGTCCATAATGTAAAATGAATTTTATTATTTGGACACGAAGATGAAAATTTCAACACTCCCTAGCACACAACTTATACAACACAAAAACATCTCAAAAGGAGTCATAATTAGACACTATAGAAACTAAAATAGTTATAACCTTGAAATAACCAATATTTCTTTTATGAAAATTTGACATTGTATACAAGGTCAATAATGCAAAGGGCACTTTTTAATATAGGACAACAATATAATTGTAAAGATAAAATATAGTAAAAGAGTAGCAATATATATAATTTAATATTCTTTCCGGTATTTACCACGCATTTATCTTCAAGATTAGGTAATTATTAGTAAAGAAATTTAAATTTTAAATCAATGCTACACATCGTCATACATAACAGATGTATGAATTAGAAAATATATATATATATATTGTCATGTCCTCGCCATGATTGTATTCCACTTTTTCTAGACTTGCCGTGTCGTATGTTTGTCCATGTCTGTGCTATATAGTACACAATCATACAATATTATACCTAATGACATAAAAGTTATGTCCTGACATATAAAAGGCAAAAAATGTTATTTAATAAGAAGAAACGCAAATGCTAAAGCAGACAAGTTCAAAATCATAATTCTGCACTTAACATACTCAATAGCTTTTGTAGGCTGCGCAAGCTTTCGCATCAGAAGTTGCTGTGTTTCTGGAAGATTCTTCTGAGCATGAAATTCTGCAAAACTTCTTTTCAACATGTCCTCCACCTGCAGTTAAGGTTCATAATCAACATTGGAAATTGGACTTCTAGGATGACTATAATTTGCTGAGAAAATCCCAAATCCATGTTAAGAACATTGACTGCTATAGTTTGCTGAACCAATATATCGAACCTCAAATCATGTAATGAAAACAGATTTATATATGTTGTATTAGATTGCTTAATCAGAAGTCTAGCTGTGATGAGGTAGTTTAGTAAGCATCTCACATACCAATAAGCCACTCAAGGGCACATTGTTACTTATTTTTTATTTGTGTTGGTATCTTGATGTGCTATGGCCTTTGCCCGCTCCGTCCCTAAACTTTACATCATGGTAAATTTCAATTGATTATTTGATACTGTAATACAGAGAGAACAAATGAAGCGGTCAACCAACAGTGCTGTGGAACGAAAGGGTACCACTTTCATATTGCGGATCCAGATCAAGAGAAACTGAAATGAACTCTTCCTTTTTTTTGGAGAAGGGGGTTGTCACTAAAAATATTTCCAGAATGTGTGTTAATTAGTGAAGTAATTGTTTTGTTACTAGAATGCAGAAAACAGTCTGTTAACATCATTAAACATAATATGGCATCAATTTATTAGGGGGTGCCCAAACAAGGAAAAGGGCAGGTACAGCAGCGTGGGCAGCCAAACTCCACTCAGCTAACTAAGCCTAGTCCCAAATTTTTGGAGTCAATTACATGAATCCTTTTCACTATAATGACCAATCATTGCAGATCCACCAACAGCCAATTATTGCAGTGCAGTGAAGAGATTTTTATCGACTTGGCTGAGTACGAGATTATTATATCTATATAAAATGTTTGCTTCGCTTTTGAGTTTAAAGATGTTATAGAAGTTGACCGTCTTTATGGCCACCCTAATTTATATCAACAATTCTGGTTATATAAGCTTCAATTTGGGAAGTGTCTGAATTTTCATCTTTATTCAATTTCTTTAAAAGAAAGAATATGGCGAAACAATTAGCTGTATGCACTTCGTATTGAGCATTCATCCTCAATTTTTGCGGAATGAGATCAATTCTTAGCCCTCTACCTAATTAGGAATCCATGAATTCAATATGGTTAATAAGACTCCAAATCTAAAGGAAAATCAAAATTAAGAACACACCAAACGAACCAGGTAAATTTAACATGTCCAAGGAAGCCATAACAAGACAACCACATTATGACAGCTTGATACTTGCCAAAGTAAAACAAAAAGTTTCATGCAATCCAATTATCCATATGGCAAGAAACAACCAACAATATCCAATTTGGTGGATATTACATTATTGTTATATGTTCATAAATTATGTAACATCCGTGCAGTCCAAAATATTTCAAAACTGTAGTATAGATACCTTCAATTCTTCAACACGAAGGAGATGCAGGATCATGATATAGGTCAGTCGAAACTGAGATTCAAGCCTGGTTGCACTACCAACTATGGTATTCTTCAAATCCCCCTCTTCTGGGAATTCATCACGACACATTACAACAACTGTACCAATTTTATCAAGTCCTCTCCTGCCAGCACGACCAGCCATTTGAGTGTATTCTCCAGGAAGTAACTGTCTAAATTCCTTGCCATCAAACTTCCTAAGCGTATCAAAAACAACCTGCCAGAAAATTACTGAATATTAAACTAAAAAGTGATATTGAAGTGTAAAATTTGCAACATCATGAAGAATAGCGTTGAAGATAAAAATCTTGATAATTGTCTTTATGAATGCTAGGACTTAGGGTTTAATTGGGTAAGTCAGACATTAGATGAGCCATTCATTCAGCATTGTTTTACTTGATTTCCTAGAAGACATGATTGAAGACTAAAGATTGAAAACTGAATGAGGTTTGAGCAGACAATTTGAATCAACAGTCTGATCAACATACTTAGGAGCTAACTTCACTAAGTGGACACTAGGACTGAATTGGAATAAAATGAATTAGGTTGACCCTAATGTACTTTAACCACATGAACGAGTATTAGAAAATGTTTTTAAGTGCAAAACATGATTTTTATTGAATTTAAACCCTTTAGACAATCCACGTAGAATCAAGGATCGATCGTCGCCTCTTAAGGACATATCCATGTATGGATAGCATAAGAAAGACCTATCAATGTCTATTGAGGATCTATCCATGTACAATCAGAAAGTTAAGAATCAATCCCAGTTTGGACCTGATCACAGTCGTTCTGTTGCGTAAAGTAAGAGTTCCCAATTCTGGAGTTAAACTTTTCCCTATTTAACTTGGACTAGGATTCTTAAAACATTATACAAAGGCTTTAGGTCCTTCTCTTACACATACACTTATGATATCTAGAAAATTTGTATATAGAAATAGATTTTTGTGAGAAATTTACATATACATTGTGTGAGAGGCTAGCACATATGCTTGAATAAGAAACTAATTATTACTAAATTGAGGAGAGCACAATTAATAACCAATCTCTTTCTACTATTTTTATAAGAAAATTCCAATTACCTCTACTGATTTCCAGTATTCAAATCTACGGACAGCTAAACTACACATGATACAAACTCACCAAAAGAAGCAGGCATCATACATGATATAAAAGGGGCTTTCGAATTTGAAAATGATTCACATTCAATTTCTAAGTAAGCTAATATGGTACCCACAAGTTCAGGCTTACATTTACATTACAAACATCACCAAGGTCATCAATTGACTTGAGCATTAAAAGCTAAAACACTGAGCATGTACATGACAAATACTGTAATGCTTGATCAGTATGCCCTGACATTTTCTTCACATCTATACATATCTTTTATCCTACCCTAGATGAGCTTTACAGAACTGGAAGTTCATCCAGAAAACCTGAAGGAAAGCGAAGGGAGAATAAAATTTCCATAATCAACAACATCACAACTAAATGATCAAAAACTCTTCCAACTACAACACGATACCAGCTATGCTAAGGAATACTAGAAATACCACCAATACCGAGGACAAATGGTGATATAGTAAAGGGATGGTCAATGTTGAATGATGTCTGCCTCAAATCCAAAAGAAAAAGGAAATAAATACTATCCAAAAACAAGAAACAGAACCAACTGCTTTGTCGATCCAAAGGAAGATATTGGCAATACAATAGGAATTTTACTCAAAAAAGGTGATCAAAAACCCCAAATTTAGTACAACAAAAGATACTATAAATTCTAAACCTGCCAGATATTTCGACCCCAAGTAAAAGTACGCTTCCAGCAACGGCAGTACCATAAAAGAAGACTTACCGTCCTAGCTGGTGCATTAACTCCCATTGCAAATGTTTCTGTTGAAAATAATACCTACAGAAAGAACAAAGATAAGAAGCAATCAACAAAAGCCCCTTGATCACTGGCATAACAAAATTCCAAGAAACATTAATAGAACTTCAATAATAATACACTGAATAAAAACTTTGATTGCAACTACTTAAAGCTCTAGAGGATCCATCATTAACTTTGGCATCATTCTGAAAAATCAAACATGAATGTCGTGGAACATTTAGGACATTGGAGAGGTAAAAAACTTTACCTTAATCACACCACGGCAAAAAAGCATTTCAACAACTTCTTTGACAATTGGAAGCAGTCCCGCATGATGCACCCCAATTCCTCTACGAAGAAGGTTTTGAACTCTGACCACCTGTAAAATGCATATACATCATATATCTGATGCCCCAAACTGGTCCAGATTAAACACAGAGAGAGAGACAGACAGACAGAGAGAATATATAAATACATACATATATATATACACACACACATATATCTCAGAACTAAATAACCTGTGGTAGGTTCCTGTCAGATCCCTTCAGCCGTGAAAATGCTTTGTCACAGAAGACACGAATTTCACTTTTCTCAGAACTACTTGTGAGGTCGGTCCCAGTCATATTATCAGCTGATTTGTCACAACGGTTCTTTGAGAAACAAAATATAACCACCTGAAGTCACAAGTCAAGACAGAAATGTACAAATTATAAAAAAGACATGAAAAGCTCCTAGGTTCTACTATGATCACTATTAAGAGTTGAAACATGAAACCAAAAGAAATATTATGAGAAAATCTATGCTGATGCAGCCATAAGAACAATTAAACTTCTGTGGTCAAGGTCAGATAGCAAAATGATTCTAACTAAAAGTTTGCCATTCGCAATGCTGTATTTGTACCATGATACGATACATTACAGGTTGTTTCAGAGATCTTATTTTGTAAATTTTGATTAAGAAACCTAGATTTCAAAATAAAGTATTCCTACATACAGGTAATAGTGACTTCTTTTCAAGCTTATTAATAAGCAACAACCACAATGAAGCTTCTGATCTCCTTGACCCCCAACTGCTCTGGTTACCACCGTTGTTTTGCTTCCCCCAACCAGCCCGAGAAATGTTCCCCAAATTCTGGGATCCAGAATGCTTATTCTGTTTACCACGCATTGAATTATCATGTTTTTGAGCTCGAGCCCCATCATGGGCTGCTGAAGACCCCAGATACATTCCAGTACCACGACCGACTGTACTCAAATTCTTTTTCTTGTATGCATCTTTGGCAGCTTTAAATCCCTGAGACATAAAGATTTCACTTTCACAGATTTTGTAGAGTTCTCCAGAATAAAAAATGCAGTGCTCCAACGGGACTGGTCTTTTTGTCGTCCTGATAATAAAAACATACCAAATGCTTTTCAAGAAGTTGACCAAATATGTCTGTGTGTGTTTGTAAGTAAGTTCCTTCAGCCTTCTACTTAAATAAATTAAAATGGAAAACAAAAAACAAAACAAAACAAAACAAAACAAAAAAACAAAAACCAAAACAAAAAAGTAATTTCAGTACATTCAATACTTCCATGACTAAAATAAAAATGGAATTTGGTTACCACAACTTGCTACTCACCCGGTTACACGAATTTTCTTTTGCTTCGTTCGACCAATCCAATCAGCAAATTCAATTGTGTTTGGCACCTGAAACCCAACATATGATATGGTATGAATATCCTTACCCCAAATGAGAATTTCTATTAGAAATAAAGTTAGCATAGCAAACAATAATTCCAGATAAGGGAAACCTTTGCCCTCACACCTCTCCCTCCCCCCACCACAAAAATAAAAACTAAAAATAAAGGGGAGAAAGATAGAGGGGGGGGGATATCAAAAGTAAGGATACATCGTATTCACAAAAACAGACGATAACCAAACAACTACAGGATGGAGCAGGCCACTCGCAATCTTTTTCCTCTTTTTCTATTAAATAAAGACTCCTGCCAATTACATCAACTTTGTAGGTATCCAAAAGATGTTATAATTGGAGGTGCTTAAAACACCATCACCTCGTGGCAGCAACCCACATTTAGGTTATGACAGACAAGTAACCAAGCGAGTTAGTCCTTTCCACTGGCTACAAAATCTGAACCATGCTGAATTATCAATAATCACTAATCAGTTTCACGTATCAAACAGCAGTATCACACAAGATGAACCTATAGGCACATATTCAGAAAATTCAAATGACCAAGTCAATTTTTCATTCATGAAAACAATAAACTTGAAACCAGGGGCATATCCAGAATATTCCTGCAAGGTATGGAGGCAATCAATGCTCAGTAGTGAACAATATTTTAATTCAGTGATATTGAAATTTAAGCTACTGCGTTCATTCATCAAGCATCAGACCATGCTAATGTTCAACAACTCGTGATCTGATATTATATAATAAATAAAATAAAATAAAAGACAGTCTAGTTCTATGGAGTTTGTCCAAATACACAAAGAAATGGACCGCAATTCCCCAAAAATAGATCCTCCCAAAATGTCACTGGAAAACTGTGGAAAATTCGGTTCTATAAATAAGGAAACCGTGTGTGTATAGCTGTAATTAGCTAGGAGATTTTGTAATGTTTTAGTCATTGTAATCCCTGATTTTAGGGAATTACTTTTTGGTCAATATCTCTAGGATTAGACAGTTTCCTAGTTTTAGAGTTTCCTAATTTAGATCCTCTGAAGTGTATATAACAGTGTAATTTCATTGTGATTTCAATACAATTTAATTTCAGCCCAATTTGTGTCATGGTATCAGAGCTGTAGGCTCAATTTTGGGAATTGTATTTCTGGTCTTGCGAACTCTCATATCGCTAGACTGATTATTATCAATCTCCAACCCCACACTATCACCCCTCAAGACCGTAACCCTTTTACCAAAAGACCATGTCAGAAACAGCCGACAACAGCAACACCACAACTACCTCGAAGGTTCCTTTGAGTGAAGGCAGCAACTCGATTCCAACAGGGGAATTGCAGAACATCCAGGCAGCGTATAGGTTGAACGGGAAGAACTATCTAAAGTGGTCTCAACTGGTTTGCACGTTCTTGAAGGGAAGAGGCAAACTGAGTCACTTACTCGGTACTGGGCCTAACAAAGGGGATCCCAAATTTGATGCTTGGGATGAACAAGACTCTATGGTGATGTCCTGGTTATGGAACTCTATATTGCCAGAAATCAGTGATACATGTATGTTTCTTAACACAGCCAAAGAAATATGGGAGGCCGTGAAGCAAACTTACTCTAAAGTCCGGGATGCTGCACAAATCTATGAAATCAAGACCAAGATTTCATCCACCAAGCAAGGAAGTCAATCAATCACAGAGTACTCCAATCTGTTGCAAAGTTTATGGCAAGAGATGGATCATTACCAGTGCATTCAAATTAAACACAGCGAGGATGCAGCCCTCTTTAAGAGGTTTGTCGAAAAAGACCAACTTACAATTTTCTTGCAGGACTGAACATTGAATTTGATGCAGTAAGAGTCCAAATACTCAGAAAGGAAGATCTGCCATCACTTAATGAAACAATTGCAATTGTTCGTGCTGAGGAAGGAAGAAGAGGAGTTATGATTGAGAATAACCCAGTGGACAGTTCGGCCTTGGTTACAAAAGTTGCAAATGTGAGGAACTTTGGCCGGGAAAAGCTATCTAATGAAGACAACAAGCGGGCAAATTTTACAAGGCCAGTCAATAAAGATTCCCTATGGTGCACATATTGCAAAAAGTCCTGCCATACTAGGGACAAATGCTGGAAACTCTACGGCAAACCGGAGATGGCAAACAAAAATTGGACGGCAAAAGGTGGACAGCCAAAGGGACAGGGGCAGGCATATATGGCAAATATACAACAGGCTGGAGAAGGTAAATCTCAAGAATCATCTATTGAATTCGATAGAGAGGAAATTGAGAAATTGAAGAATCTGCTGGGATCTTTGGAGAAACCATCTACAACAGGTACTTGCACTTTGGCGTTCTCAGGTATATCTTCCTCTACTCATGCTTTTAAAGTCTCGGATATATCCACCACAAGCTCCTGGGTCATTGACTCAAGAGCTACAGATCACATGACCCACTCGTCACAAAAATTTATCTCATATACACCTTGTCCTAGCAATAGGAAGATAACAATAGCCGATGGTTCTATGACAACAGTGGCTGGGCAGGGAGATGTTTTTGTAAGCAAAAAACTCACACTTAGAAATGTTCTCCATGTACCAAAATTATTTACCAACCTTTTGTCAATCCACAAGCTCACTAAAGATTCTAATTGCAGTGTGGTGTTTTATCCCTCTCATTGTATATTTCGAGTACAGGGCGCGAGGAGGATAATTGGACATGCTAGAGAAAGGGATGGTCTCTACAATCTTGAAGAACCCAGTGGTCAAGTTAGTGTTGCGAATTCCTCACCATTATCATTTCTTTCAGAGTCTTTTAAATCCAATAAAGACAAGATTTGGCTTCAACACCTCCGTCTTGGTCACCCGTCATTTAGAGTCCTTAAAATTATGTTTCCTTTATTGTTCAAAGGATTAGATGTTGAAATTTTTCACTGTGATGTCTATGAACTTGCAAAGCACAAACGTGCTTCTTTTCCAATAAGCGAAAAAAGAACATTTGTTCCATTTACTCTTATTCATAGTGACATTTGGGGACCATCCACTATTTCTAACATTTCTGGGGCTCAGTGGTTCATTTCTTTCATTGATGATTGCACTCGTGTGTCTTGGATCTTTCTTATGAAAAATAAATCTGACATAAGCTCTGTCTTTCCTGTTTTTTACAACATGGTCAAAACACAATTTGGTACTGAAATAAAAAGATTTCGTTCTGACAATGCCAAAGACTATTTTAATCAGTTTCTCTCACCATATTTCTGAGAAAAGGGCATAATACATGAATCTTCTTGTGTTAACACACCCCAACAAAATGGCGTGGTTGAATGAAAGAATGGTCACATTTTAGCTATTACATGAGCATTCTTGTTTCAAAAAAATGTTCCTAAGCAATATTAGGGGGAAGCGGTTTTAACTGCTGCTCATATGATAAACAAATTGCCTACAAAGGTTCTTGATTTTAAAAGTCCTATGCAAATTCTAACAAAATTCTTTCCTAATTTCAATGCTTCAAGTAGTCTTGTTCCCAAAATATTCGGTTGTGTTGCTTTTGTCCATGTGCATTCTCAAAACAGGGGAAAACTTGATCCACGGGCTGTCAAATGCGTCTTTATTGGCTATTCTTCCACTCAAAAGGGGAACAAATGCTATCATCCTCCCACAAGAAAATTCTATGTGTCAGCTGATGTCACTTTTGTCGAAGAAGATCATTACTTTACTTGTCCTTATCTTCAGGGGGAGATCTCATTCACGGAAGATAAGGACAAGGATTTTTTTCTTCTTGATTTTCCATTGTCCTCCTCCTGGTTCCTGTCTTTGTTGTCCAGCCAAACACTCAGTCCGTTCCTATTGACACTCAATCCGTTCCTGTTGATCAACCTGAGCTAGTCCAGCCTGAGCCAAACATTCAGTCCGAATCCATACAACCTGAAACCGAGCCTCATACACCCAAGTCACAAGAGATGATAAAGGAAAGCAAATTCATGACTCTACTCATCCACAGCTGGTTTTTTCAAGAAGAAGGGCACCAATCACTCAATCTGTGCAAGTTCAATCACCCAAATCAACCCCTGCTCTTGGACTTAGCGAGGTAATTACTAAACCTATTTCTAATGACTATGGTGTCACTGAAGTTCTTGATCAAAGTGATTATGATATTCCTATTGCTATTAGAAAGAAAACTAGAGCATGCACCAAACACCCTTAGTGCTTATTTATACAAGAATCTGTCCCATAACCACAAAACCTTTCTCATAAGCCTAAACACAATCTCCATTCCCAAAACCATATCCGAGGCATTAGGTAATGAGAATTGGAAGAATGCCATGAAGGTTGAAATGGAAGCACTTGAGAAGAACAAGACATGGGACTTGGTGAAATTGCTGAGAGGAAAGAAACCGGTGGGATGTAGATGGGTATTCACGGTGAAATACAAGTCAGATGGTTCGTTGGAGAGGTACAAAGCAAGGTTGGTTGCTAAAGGATATACCCAAACGTATGGAATAGATTATCTTGAGACATTTACTCCTGTTGCGAAGATGAACACCATCAGAATGTTGTTGTCATTGGCTGCTAATCTGGGCTGGAAATTACAGCAATTCGATGTCAAAAATGCCTTTTTACATGGTGATCTCGAGGAGGAGGTTTATATGGAAGTTCCACAGGGGTTTGGTTCGAATACAGGACAGGTGGTATGCAAGTTAAGAAGGCGTTGTACGGATCAAAACAATATCCAAGAGCTTGGTTTGGAAGGTTTGCCAAGGTAATGCTCGATATGGGATACACACAGAGCCAAGGCGATCACACCTTGTTTGTAAAGCATTCGGCTTCAGGGGGAGTGACTGCATTGTTAGCCTATGTAGACGACGTTATAATGACAGGTGATATTTGGAAGGAATGGAGAATTTAAAGAAGTGTTTAGTGAAAGAATTCGAAATTAAAGAGCTCGGCAAACTAAAGTATTTTCTCGGCATTGAGGTAGCACATTCTCGGGAAGGAATTTTCATATCTCAGCAAAAATATGTAACAGATTTGCTGATGGAAACAGGCAAGTTAGGTTGCAGACCAGCAAAGACGCCTATAGAGTTCAACTACAGGATTGGAGATGCTCTGGCAGACACGGCAGTAGATAAAAGCTCCTATCAGAGACTTGTGGGAAGGCTTATCTACTTGTTACACACTAGACCAGACATAGCCTATGCAGTTAGTGTTGTAAGTCAATTCATGCACAATCCCAAAGAGTCACATCTTAGGGCTGTGTATCGAATCCTACAGTACTTGAAAGGCACACCGGGCAAAGGAATTCTATTTAAGAAGGGAGAGGAGCTAACTCTTGAAGCCTACACTGATGCAGATTATACAGGGTTTGTAATTGATAAGAGATCTACCTCGGGTTATTACACTTTTCTAGGAGGCAACCTTGTGACTTGGAGGAGTAAAAAACAGAATGTTGTGGCAAGATCCAGTGCAGAAGCCGAGTTTAGAGCAATGGCACTTGGTGGCTGAAAATTGTCTTAGAAGATCTAAGAGTCAAGTGGGAAGGTCCAATGAAGCTTTATTGTGACAATAAGTCGGCCATTAATATTGCATATAATCCAGTGCAACATGACCGTACGAAGCACATTGAAGTTGACAGGCACTTTATAAAGGAGAAGCTTGACAGTGGCCTAATTTGCACTCCATTCGTTTCCACTAGCGATCAACTTGCAAAGATACTCACCAAAGAATTGTCTGGGACGTTTTTTCAGAGACTAGCAAGCAAGCTTGGAATGGATGATATCCATTCACCAGCTTGAAGGGGAGTGTGGAAAATTCGGTTCTATAAATAAGGAAACCATGTGTGTGTAGCTGTAATTAGCTAAGGAAACCGTGTGTGTATAGCTGTAATTAGCTAGGAGATTTTGTAATGTTTTAGTCATTGTAATCCCTGATTTTAGGGAATTACTTTTTGGTCAATATCTCTAGGATTAGACAGTTTCCTAATTTAGATCCTCTGAAGTGTATATAACAGTGTAATTTCATTGTGATTTCAATACAATTTAATTTCAGCCCAATTTGTGTCAAATACAATTTAGAAATAGATCAATTTACCAAAATTATGATCCTTCCAAAATGTTGTTCTTATACAAATTAGTCATAGACCTGAGATTCTTAAATATGTTCCCTCTAAGGTGTTACTTTAATACAATTTAGGCATCCAATCATACTTCTCTAATAAAAATTAAAACAGCAAATTCTAAAATTTTAAAGCAAAAAAAATGTGGATGATCCACTCAATTGGGATAAAGGCACAAATGAGGAAGATGATGAACCATCCATTCTCTAATTTCTAAGAATAAGTTAGCAATTTTCAGTAAAAATTATTGATTAAGTAAAAATCACAATATAGGTTTCATGTGGAAACGCATTCCAATTATTTTTCTACCATTTGATTCTTCTATTTATATATATTATTTTTTTTATTTTTCTTCTCATGTTCTAATCGACTTTGTTAGTTTCAGTTCCAAGAACTTTTTCTTGAAAATAGTAAGATATAGGTACAAAGAGAGAGGGTTTTTCCCAAACCTAAGGTTCAAGGAAGCGGAACCTACATTTGTAGGTCAAAATTGGTAAGTGGACTTGGGAAAAAGAAAAGGTGAAATTGGTATGATTAGTTTATATATTGAAATTTGACTAGTCAATTATTGAATGCTAGCTCCGGTAACATGATTGGTGCAACAGTATTACTCATCTTGCCCCCACCCCACCCCACCCCACCCCATGGGGGTGGGGAGGTGCCTTTCTCAGGTACCTCAAAAAAAAACTATGCAAAACAAATAAGATCATAATATATATATATATATATCAACAAGGAAGTAGGTACCGTGGCAGAAAGGAGGATAATATTAATATGCCTCGGAAGCATGATAATAACTTCTTCCCAAACAACACCTCTTTCAACATCATTCACGTAATGCACTTCATCAAATATAACCTATTTCAACATATACACAGAAGCCAAGTGAGCACAAATATGTCAGAACTCTGATATTTGGAAGGAAAAAGAGTAAAAGAAAATAAAAGCTCAAGTGAAACAGGTAACATAATAAAAGAACTAAATCTATAGAAACATGGAGAATTTATACTGCTGAAAAGGAATATCAATTATATCATACAAAATGAACTTACCCATTCAATGTCACGTATGATATCAGCACCCTTATAGAGCATTGACCTTAGTATCTCAGTGGTCATGATGAGACAAGAAGCCTCTGGCCTCAAGCTAACATCTCCAGTGAGGAGGCCAACATCAAATTTCCCACAAAAATCCCTGTACTTTTGGTTGCTGATGGTTTTAATGGGAGCAGTATATACTGCTCTAGTACAGTGCTGTATGACATAGTATCAACTCAAAATCTTAAGCACAGAAACTAAGCATAATTTGACATATAAAAACTTGAATACACAAGGACGTGACCAAACAGTGTTTTTTTTTTTTTTTAATGATAACTGACATAACCAGACATTCAAGAATTCAACTAGAGGCATACTTTTGATGACAGGGCAAATGCATACTCTGCAACAACTGTTTTCCCAGCTGACGTATGAGCTGCCACAAAAACAGATTCCCCCTTTTCAAGGTAATAGATAGCCTGTAATTATCGCCATAAAGAAGCCAATTATTAATTTAAGCTGCATTCTACAAATACATTACTTTTAGAGTAGCATGCACAAAATAATATATAGTTAATGATAATGTGCCCAGGCTAACAAAGTTGTTAAAAAAGATATAACAACTAAATAATGCCTGAGTGACAAAAGATTTATTTAGGAAAAGCATATATATATTATAAGATGAAGCAGTGAATATATATATATATATTATAAGATAATCTGAGAAAAAATATAAGAGGGAGCAGTGAGTAATGTAAGAAGAACTGTTGGTAATCCAAGTGAAATCCCAACAATGGCAGGTTTACATAAGTTCAACTCTCTGTTCTTTTTTCTTTTTTTCTTCCCCATCCCCAACCCTTTTTGTGAGTGTAAATAGAAACATCATTAGCTAAACAATAATATTTACAAATGAATGACTTGACAAGACAAGTCCAAGAAGAGGATTGTTGTGTATTCAGTGACAAGTGACAACATTCCTTCAATTGATTAATCTAAAGTAAGAGTAAATGGAAAATTATGAGATTAAGAAGATCTGCAATCAAAAGTGCTTATAACAATTACGCTTTTGTACAGTGAAATTTTGCAAAACAGTAACACTCAGACCCCACGTCAGATTCCGTCACTGACAGAGTTAAAAATAGTGTGAAATCTATGCCCTCATACATTTAATTGTTTTTTATCAAAAAATCAAATAATCCAAAAGACCATTTTGCCCCTAATGATGGCCCTTGGGAGTTGTGGTCTGTAATAATAACCACTCCCCTCTGAGCCTCCCGCCAAGAGACTCCCCCTCCCCCCAACCCTCTCACTACTCTGTAAACCCTAATGTAACTCCATCATCAAACCCATCTCTCCATCATCGGCAAAACACCACCATCAATCAAACGCAATAAAATGGTCGTCAATCCCCATACTTTGTACCGCTGCCACTGCCACCACTCTCCACCACCATGGCGGCTGATCCGGTGACACCACCACTGTACTGTGTTGATACCGCTGGCCACCGAATCTGCACGATGGAAACCCCAATCGTGGCCAATTTGGTGTCACATGAATTTAACCTATAGACCATTCAACATTTTGCAACCATACATCTATATATAATATATATACATATATGTCACCAGATTACCCAATTTAATTAATCTTGGCCACCACCATACACAGCATCACTAACACCACCGGATGGCCGTATTTTATGGAAGGTTAGAGCGGGTTTTGGTGACATGATGGTAAGAATCCGATGAGAAGAACAGCAAACGGATTTCGCGATTCAGGCAGGATGTTGTTCGTTCACTGTCTGATCAGCTATGATAAACCTGTTGGCTTAGGTTCCGACGGTAAGGGTGAGATGGTGATCCCTATGTTTGGGATCGCGAAGAAACCAATGGGTTTGGACTTTGGGTTGATGGGTTCGTTCACTGTCTGGTGAGATCTTGGCATGTGTTTGGTTCATGGCAGTCTCACATCTCTGGTTCTGCTCTTATTGTTGACGACTTTACAAGCCTTTTTATTTAGTGTATAGTTTCATGTTAAGAACATCATTGACTAGCCCCGTAATATGAAATTTTCCATAAATTTTTCAGTGTAACATTTGATTAATAAAATTCTTTCATTATATTAATGTGTATTGAGATATTCTTATATACCCTCAATTAATAAATAAATTTTGTAGTTTGCTTTGAATTGCTTTTGACTATTGGCTAATATATTTTTGTTGGATATATATTTCTAAGGACTGGACAACTTATCAAAAATAAATAAAAAATTCTAACGACTGGACTACATATAGACCATTCAACATTCTGCAACCATATATGTGTGTTATATAATCCCAAATTATATGTTTAATACCAATTGTAACATAATCCCTAATAAAAGAATAAAGAGTCTACAGCGTAATTTTCTTTTTTTTTTGGTTGGGGGGGGGGGGGGGGGGGGGGGGTTGAGTTCAAGTACCATCTGGTTCGTTGGGAGCAAGTGTGTTGTCCTTTTCGGAGTGGAGGTTTAGGAATTAGAAGGTTATTGCCTTTCAATAGGGCTCTGCTTGGGAAATGGCTCTGGAGATTTGGGGTTGAGAGGCAGTGGCTTTGGAGGAAAGTTATTGCCAGCAAGTTTGGGGAAAGCAGTGGTGGATGGTGTTCCCTTAAGGTGCGTGGTCCTAGGGGTGTGGGGGTTTGGACTTGCATTCGAAAGGGATGGGAAGTTTTTCGCAAGCATGTTCGCTTTCGGATCAGGGATGGCAGGAGGATTAGATTTTGGGAAGACCTTTGGTGTGGGGAGCTTCCCCTTGCTCTTTCTTTCCCTCGGCTTTACAGGATTGCTTCTAATAGACAGGCCTTGGTGGTTGATTGTTATCATCTTGATAACGGAAGACTAACTTGGGATGTTCAGTTTAGATAGCATTTTCAGGATTGGGAGATTGAGGAGGTCACTCGTTTTTTGGAGTTACTGTATCGTCAGGTGATTTCTCATGAGGAGTCTGATTGTTGGCTTTGGAGTCCTCATTCTCAGGGTCGTTTCGAGGTGAGGTCCTTTTTCAGGTGCCTTACTGTTGGTGATGGTGGTCCTTTCCATTAGAAGGCTATTTGGCACTCCAAGGCTCCCCTTAAAGTGGCTTTCTTTGCTTAGACTTCTATCTTGAGTAGGATTTTAACCCAAGATAATTTGAGGAGGAGGAATCAGGTGGTTATCAATCGTTATTACTTGTGCCGACACGATGAGGAGACAGTGGATCACCTTCTATTGCATTGCAGTATGGCCAGAGATTGTTGGGATTTGATGATTGGATTATTTGGGGTCCCATGGGTTATGCCCTGTTCCTCTAGAGAGTTGATTAAGGCTTGGAGAGGTGTCTCAGTTAGGGCTCTCATGCGGGATGCTTGGAGGGCTATCCCTCTCTATATTTGGTGGTGCATTTGGCTCGAGAGAAATCGGAGATATTTCGATGGCAAAGAGTAACCTATGTCTATGCTTAAGTTCTCCATTATTTCCACTCTTTTTTGTTGGGTCTCAGGGAGAGACTATCGTTTTGTTGAGGAGATTGTTATTTTTTTGGCCTCTTTGAAGGCTTAAGGCGTTTTGTGGCCTTTTGTTTCCATGGGATTCGCTCCCCTTTTGAGCGCTTCTTTATAAAATTCTTACTTATCAAAAAAATAAAAAATAAAAAAAAAAGGAAATTTATGTTTAACTTTCATATATGTTAAGTAATGAACATATATGTATTATATATGTTGCACTTAAGTGGAAGGGTAACTTTGTCTTAACAAAACTTTTAGTAGGATACTTTGGTCATTTCATATTATATGTTAAGAAAAAAGAGGTATTTATACAAAGTCAAGGGGTATCCAGGTCATTTTACATGGTGTCATTGCTGTTAGAGCTCTAACATGGGTGCAAGTGATGACACGGAGTATTTGTGTAAGACATAGCAAGCATTTGGGGTCTTAGTGTTAACCTTTTGCAAAATTTGTATCTAGGTGTTATAAGGGCAAACCCCAAGGGGTGTCAGTGTAATTTACCCTAAATAAAATAAAGTAAAAAAAGTACATATGAGTGCTAATTTTTCCTCCACAAGACCAATAAGTCCTATCAAGTTTCAACAAGACTATTAAGTCACACTTTTGGGACATTTTTCACGTAAATTCTAAGCCTTTTAAACTCCTACTTACACCCTTACAAAATTATAGAGCAAAATGGTGAAGCCAAAACCACGTAATCAGCCGTAACAGTTTGCAGAAGGCTTTGTCAAGCTTATTGTATGTCAAGAGAAAATTAATAATAAATAAACTAATTTTCCTACACGACCAATAACTCCTATCAGTTTCAACAAGACTATTAAGTCCCGCTTTTGGGACATTTTCCATGTAAATTATTAGCCTTTTAGAGGCCTACAACACAAAATTGGACTTAAGGGCCTCAAATAACAAAATCGTGGACTTTTAAAGTCCACTTTTCGCCTTTGCTTGAGTTGGGAAAAATAATTTCAAATTGATGCAGAATCATTGTTCACTTTTCTTTCATATCCAAAAAGCCCTCCAACTTTTGAAATTACCAAACTAACCTTAGTTAATTAGTTTGCTAAAAGTGGTACCTTAAAGCACTATAGTGGTACCTTATTCACCTTTGGAAAGTACAAAGCTCTAACTTATCGCTTATAGTACGCAATCGTACTAATTTTAGCACTTCTAATACACTGCTTAACCAAAGGCTGCTTTGGTAATTTCAAAATTATAGTGGGAGGGCATTTTGGAAATGGAAGAAAGGTGGACAATGATTCACCATGCATTTAAAATTATTTTGCCTAAGTCAACCTAAAGATCTGTTTGATTAGATGGAAATAGCAAGAAAGGAAAGGAAGCAGAATTTTTTTAAACACAATTAATACCTCCTTTTGGAATGTATCCAATTCGAAAGGAAAGTCCAGTGCCATGTCAGGAACAAGCTCATGAAAGCGATCTGCAATCCCTTCACTACCTCCGCTAACAGCCCAAAACTGCAGATAGAAGCACCCATTAACCAACAGCACCGAGAGAAACAAACTACAAACAGACAAAAAAGATAGTATTTAAATGTCGGAATCTTGCATAAAGCACTGCTTTCAGATACCTACCTCTTTTTGCTGCTGTCCGCCACCATCACTACTTCCATCCAATCTTGAAGATGATCCCCTTGATTCAACTGATAAAATCTCATCCAACACGGCTGATTGAGTGTCAAAAACACCACCAGCCACATCCACCTTATTCACTTCAGCATCCAAGGGTAGAGATTCTGACTTCACAAGCTCCACATCATTAACTTCAGCTTCCACTGATAACACAGCATCCACATTAGCCTCCACTAATAAACAACACGGCCGCCCCCCCCCCCCCCCCAAAACAAAAAAAAAAAAAGAGGAACATGGATAACTAATTTTTTAAATTTCAAGATTGATATGTGAATAGATGGGCAATTATCAATTTGATCATCTGACCACCTGGTAAACTTCAAAAAAAACCTCAATAAACAATGCAAAATGACTAAATGTTAGTAGTGCAGTACACATTTCCTCCCCCTACCCGTTTTCCACAATGATGCACGGAAGGGAAGATTGTTTGTCAAGCACTTAAAGTAACTGTCATTTTTTAATAAGGTCAGCGCATTTAAAATTGGCGACAATATGAGGAGTGAGGACTGCAAAACTAACTTCAAAGTTGGAAACTGTACTTGAAAGGTGAATAGAAACTATTGCTTTTCAACAACACGTGTTAGCCCTCCAAGCCCATCCCCCTGCCTCCTTCCTTCTCATATCCTCTATCTCCGGCACCCCAAACACAATATTACCATCTCCAAAATGTAACTAAGAAAGGTCCAAAAATATAATAAACAAAGTCACATAGTTCTATTTTTTTTTTTTTTTTTTTTTGTTCAAAACTAAAATTATTGATTCCATTAGTTTATCTGTGCCAAATTTGAAGAATTTCAAGAAAATTCTAGAATTACACCAAAATTCTTCATTGATCATATGTAAATATAATTTACTATAAAAATCTCCGTAATTATTCATAAATAAACCACATAAGTTTCAAATTCCAAACTACTTCAAACACTGATTTAAGTATTTAACAACACGTGTATTCTTTATTGAGTGCATAGTTTTCTCCAACTAAAACACATTAGAGTTTCTCCTAATCTTTTGCTGTTCACAATGATATCTCAAATAACTCAAAATTTTAAAACTGTTCCCAAAATTCCAACAGTGAATGCTTCCAAAATCCATATTTCTGCCGTATGCTCAAAATATAAGCTACTATTCATACCATTTCAGTATTGAAAGTTGAAATCCAGCACAAAACTCAGATCTCGGACTGCTCCAACACCATTTATTGGCCCTTTTGTCTGATATCAAGACCACTAAAAGTGGCAGTCTCAACCATCCTAGTCAAAAATTAATTTAATGCAACGCAAGATGAACCGAGATGAATCTAGCTAAGCCCATTCCAAACAAAGAATAATAGTCCTGAACCTAGAATTGGTCGTGCATAAATTTTTTGAGCTAAAGCAGAGCTAGCAAGGCTAGCAATGCTAGCTCAGCATTCTTGCTCAAAACAAACAGGAACGTAAAAAAACAGAATTTCAGAGTGGAGTGTAGATCATACGGACCATCTCCCGAAAATTCTGTGACATCCTCCTCCCAAGCTTTCTTAAACAAGTCATCAAACTGCACAGAAAGCTCAGCCTGCATGAAGAATAAACACAAAATCATTGATTACATAAAGCTGCAAGGCAAGTAATAAGATTCGTTTCTCAAAAAAAGTTATACAAGCATGGTACCCTGCATACATGACCACATGCTTCATGAAACTACCAAATCTTAACTTCCAGATTTAATATGCAACCATAATAGCCCAGATGTGGAAATATATTGTAACTAATGAGTGTGGAAATGAAACATATCTGCACTGCAACAACTGACCACCTTTTCATCTGGTGTGCGATTGACTGAAATTTGATCCTCGTACACATTCCATGAAGATGAATATGCCTTCAAAAGGTATCCATGCAAACAAAATTGTCAAAAAAAATATAAAGTTAAACAAAAAGTAAGATCATGGTATATTGTTATGAGTTCCCAATTATAGGATAAATCAAGTAATTTTACTTTAATATCACCAAGATCCAATCCTTGTTTAAAGCTAGGAGGAATCGCCTGAGCAGGACCACCATTAAGCACCTCCCGTACCCATTCACCATTAGACATACCAACAGGAAGAATCCTTTCTGAAGATTGAGAATCATCCAAACCCCCTGGACGAAAAGGACGGCTATTGAGGCTTCCTTTTACAAAATCCTTTGCAGGTCCAGCAATGCGTGGCAGAGCACCAGAATTCTCAGCCCCAGCCATAAGTTCTGATACATCCACCTAAAGTATTATAACAAATCAACTCCGCAGAACAAATTCAGAAAAAGAGGAGTTAACAATGACAACAACAACAGCGACAACAATTATACTGATGATGATGATGATAATAATAACACCAACAACAACAAAAAAAAAGACTGCCAAATCCCAAAACCGATTTGGCAGTTGTCCCTAAGGAAAATAAAAGATAATAAGCAATAGAGGTTCTGTGAACTTATATTCTCAGTATAAGCTACAATTTACAATGAACGCTCGTGCTTGTGTTAGCTAATTTGAATATTTGCGAGGGAACAGGCACGCATTGGATAAGAAATCGTTTCATACCTGCACTGAGATCGGTTCCCATATTTCTTTCTCTGGACCCCTCTTTGGGCGTCTGAAAGGTAATTCCCATTTCGGAACCACAACAGACCGGGGCAATGAAGGCTCTAGGTTAATTTTCGCTTTATCAAACCAGTCAAATTCCCATTGTCTTCCTGCTTTTTCTGGAGAAAACTCGTCAGTGTCCAATCTCGGCAGTAGATATTTCTCCTCTATATACTCTTTTATTGAGGTAGGTGTTTCTCTAGCAAATGCAGGTGGCTGATGTAGACATAGAAATAAGAAAAAATGAAGTTAGTCAAATGAATATGAAAATTCAAAACTTTAGATACATTTAACATTGCTCTTGAAGTAATGACTATTCAATTTATAGAGTTTATTGCTGCATATCTTAAGGCACACCAAGGTATGCCATTGAAAGGATAATTTAATAGTATCTTATAGTTGACCATCTGGGTCATAACCTAGGACACTAGATCAATCACCTATGGTTTCCTTGATTTTTTGACAGCTTTTGTCTGAAATATGTGAAATCCCAAAACCCGCGTAAACAGAACATACACTGAGCAATGCCGTCTACTTTAATTCACGAGAAACCTTCAAGAAGAGAGGTTATCACCTTCACTTCCTTTTTCTCCAAAACTCTCAAAAGTTAAAACTCCTATAGAAGATCATCTTTCCCTCATTTTCCATTCTTTTAACCCCATTGTGTTCCACTTCCTTCCATCCAATCATCATGTAAATCTTGCATCAACCTCCCCACCCCAAACCGATGCAACCATTATCTCACATATAAAACCCTAATAATTAAGAAACAACACTATTCAAGGCCGACTTTAAGCACACGTAGGAAAACCTAATAAGTAAAAACACCCGTAATCGAATTCAACAAAATAATATCTGTAACCCTAAATAATGATTTCACTCTAGCATTCAAAAAGAATGAAGTTTAGATTCTAGTGTGTGCAGTTGAAAATTGTGAGTGAGTTATTATATAAATGTCTATATAAGTGTAAATGTATATAGAGAGAGGGAGACGGACAAGTATGAAGTCAGGGAGTGACTTGACACTGTCGGAGCGTTCGACCGGCGGGAGGGGCTCGACTCTGAGGTGACCACTGTGACCGGAGAACCCGACCCGAAATGAAAGTTCGTTCGCTGCGGCGATCCGATCCATTTTTTTGCTGCGTCTTGCGCTCTTCTGATCCCTTTTCCGGCGATTGCCCTCACTTTCTCCGCCGACTTAGTTTGCTTCCGATTCGAATGCGTGTACTTTCGCGGGTTTTGGGAAGAATGAGAAATAAAATCGGTGCGAATTAGTTCTTTACTTAAACCTCAATTAAACTCTCTTACAGGTACACCGGAGTAGGAGTAACGAGAAAGGTACTGATGTCTCCTTTCTACTACTAAAAAGGCAACGTAGATATATATATATACATATTACATATACACACACCAGTGCTTCGGTAAAAATAATGTGCCGTTGTAAAATCTTGATAAAATTGGGGGAAAAAGTAAAAACATCTCGTAAAAAATTATTGGAACAATAAATAAATGCATCTTATAAAAATCAATCACCTACATATACTTAATAGTAGAGTAATTGTTAGAATGAATCACAAAAATATTTGATTTATTTAATTTTTAAAATGTGCGATTATATTAAAATTTTAAATTATATTTTATGTCTTATATGTGTGTGTGTGTGTGTGTGTATATATATATATATATATATATATATATATATATATATATATCCCGATTTTATGCTTAATTATCCTCGAATTAAATTTCTTGATCCTCGAATTAAATATATTATGCTTAATTATCCTCGAATTAAATTTCTTGAAATAGCATGTTCAAGAAATTTATATATATATATATATATATATATATATATATATATATATATATATATATATATATTGTCTTTTATATATATATCCCTTCAAGTTATGCTTAATTATCCTCGAATTCGGTTTCAAAATCACAAAAATATTTGTTGATTAACTCCGAATACTTGTTAAAATCAATTAAAATACTAATCAATCACAGTAAGTAAATTCTAGACAAGTTATTTGGGTAGAATGAAAAATACTTGTTTAGGTTTGAAAGATATGATATCATTAACCCGGATGAAACTATTTTATAAGTAACAAATTCTAACATGTGGAAGCTTTGTGTTTTTGTCCTGATATATCTTATTTTATACTGATATTATTAGGATTTAAATTGAATATTATATTTTATTATCTTGTATTGGGTATTTTTAATATTGGTTAAATAATTGAATTGTATACATACTTAAGGTTTTTTTGTGCTAATGAAAAAAAAAATTTAAAAATTTTATGAACATCTGTAACAAATATATATTATTAAATACTGCTATTATTTTTTGTTTTCAAAATTGTGACAATAACAAGTATTAATAAATATTATTTTTGTTTTTAATTGTCACTCAAAAAAACAAAATTATGTTTATACTTTCTCGAGGATGCAAAAAAAAATAATAAATAAATAAAAGGTTACTAAAAGGGAAAACTACGTATAAATAGACTTAGTACCCTTAAATAACAAAATAATCTAATTTTAAAGTTCAATTTTCAATTTGATTGAATTAAACAAAATAATTACAAATACATCAATAGTAATTATTAAGGTCCAAAACACCCTCCAAATTCTTATTCTAAAATACCAAAATATCCTTGGAGTTATATAATTTCAAAATACCAAAAGTCAATTAAGAAACTATCGAATCTTGACTGTGAATCCTGTGTTTGGAAGGAGCGTAAGTGAAGAAAATTTGTGATGAAAATCCCTCTTTACAAACGATTGAGAAAATTTGTGAAGAAAATTTGTGAATCCATTGCAACAAACATTACAAACGATTAAGGTTGAATAATATTTTCTTACAAATCCAAATTTATTTTACACGGCATTTTCTCCCTCTTTATATGTACTATTTACATGTTTAGACATACACTTTTTGAAGACACATAACACTATTTTCTGATAAATTTAGGATCATCCCTAGATGTTTAGGGATCAAGTTGTGATACTTGTTCTTAATTTTCAAATAGATTTTCATTATTCAATGAGACTTTCTCTCTCTTCAATTAGATCTGTCTGATTTCAAAATTTTCTGAAATTTATTTTTTTCTGGGTTATATATGTGACCATACTGGGTATAGATCAATTGACCCAAGTGTGAGTACTTGCATTTTTATCAATTTTTCTGGTCATTTTGATATTCATGCATTTTTATGTTATTGCCGGAAATTACGATTTAAGTTGCAAATGTGTTTAATTTAGTTAAATGTCATTTGTTTATTTCATAAAGGGTATTATGGACTTTTTGTTTTACAAATGATATATATGGTATTTGATTATTTTATATAGGGCAAAGTAAACTTTTAGTAGGCACATGGCATAATTGGCATTTAGAAATAATTGAAGGACTTTTTGGTCATTTTTGCTTGGTCTTGCATTTGACTAATTGTGAGCTTGACACATGGGGGTTCACATGGCCACGTATTGTGTGTGTGTGTGATGACATATAACATTACAATTGAATGGGATAGACACAAAACACAATCTACAGAATGTCATTTTTCGTCCTTTTTGTTCTCTTTCATAGTAGTCTTTTTTGCATGACACTTTGAAGCTTTTGTGTTGGGATTTTGAGAAGGGTATGTGAATGAAAAGTGTAGTTGGTGTCTTGAGCTTCATTTTGGAAGCAAAGTTGCAATCATTTCTTCATTGCTGGGATTTTAAAATCTGATTTGAAAAAGGAAGGGTGGGTTGAATTTCAAGAGGTGTTCTTCATTTTTTTGCAAAATTGGTAGCTTACTTTGGTTTGTTTTAGATTGTTGGTAGCTGGGTTTTCAAGCTGCTAAGAGGTAGGATTGTCTAACCCTCAATTCCTTTACCTTTAGTGAGTTAATTTCTTTCAAATTTTGAGTTGCAAAGTGTATACAAAGAAAACTGAAATTTTGTGCTGTTGAAACTTAATTACATGGTACAATTTGGTCAAATTCATGTAAATTTGTAATTTATCTTTTAGAGATAATTTGATATTATAATAATATAGTTAATTAGCTTTCATTGAGAATTAGTTTCATTTAAACTGGTTTAGAAATGAATTTATTACGAATTTTTTGAGTTATAGTGTTCTTGCTGGAAATTCTGGGTTGGGTGCAGATTTTGTCCGAGTTTTTCTCATCAAACCTAATTTAAATGGTAAGGGATTTTGGTGAAGTAAGATTTTATCTTGAAAATACAGTCTTTAAACTTTCAATGGGCTTTGAATTCACTCAGTTTGGATGAAAATTGATTTTTTTTTTTTTTTTTTTGATCAAAACTGTTCCAGTTGGGAATGCATTTTGTTAAACTAAATTGACACTTTCAAAGTACGTTGTTTAAGCTTTCATTAGGCTTTGGAATCACTCAATTTGACATATAATTGAAATTATTATGAATTTTCAAAGATGTAGGTAACAAGTTGCGTATGAATTGTTAACAACTAATAGGGGTTGTTTTAACCATCACACCTTTTGTTTCCTTGTGAACAAAATCTTTTAAATTGAACCATTATATGACTTGAATTAAGCTTTCTTTACAAGCATGTTGTGTAATAAAAATCTGAAATTTTGTAACTTAGACAGAAATGATGTGTTATGTGTTTTAAATATGGAATTTGAACTCTTAAAATGTCGTTGATGTTTATGTGTCTAAAACTGAAATTCTAGTAATCACAATGGTTATATTGTTATTGTTTGACAAGCTGAAAATTTTATATTTAGTTCACTCCAATTATGGGCTGTTTTGTTATGAGTTTGGTGTTGTAATAGTGTTCAAAAAACTGAATGATACATTATCCTTGAAACATGCTGCCATGATAGATTTGCTGCCAAAGTGTGTTCATAGAATTTCTATATGTTTTTTATGTCTAATAACTTCTATGTTGTATAGATTAGATGACAATATGCTTGAGTTGATTTTTTTAATACTGTGATAGTATGTCATTGTGAAGCTTGCTGCCGTGATAAATTTGTTGCCAAAGTATGTTTATAGAATTGGATTTTGATGTGAGTAGTGATGTGGTATTATAATATTGTGAAGCATGTGACATTCATGCATATCATTGGGAAATAATGGAAAAAAATTGATTTGAAATAAATGATATGGATTTTTGGGAATGAATTTTGTAAAGGATTTTGTGAAAAACCCGGTCGCCTAGAAGTTGCCTAGGGACCGCGGCGTCAGTGAGGCCTAGAAGGGACTAGGGAGATCGCTCTAGTGTAATTGTGTTACTTGGGCCTCAAATGACGCCATGGAGTTGCCATGGGTTAGGGACAGTGGTCAATCCTCCTCTCGTGCCACAATGGAGTTGTCACGGGACGGGTTCACTAACGGTTTAAAAATGATGATGGAAATGGTTTTAGAAAAATGAGGGGCAACATCGCATGATATTGCACCCATTGCATGTCATATTCATTTATGACTTGATTTATAAATGTGATATTATGATTATTTTTCTCCCGGCATAGCATAGGACCAGCTAAGATATTGATTAATGTGATAATTATGGAGTAATAGAGATGGATATTCTCAGTTCGTGTTTATGATTAGACATGAGCGGTTATCCTTTTGTCTAGGTGCAGTGAATCATTAATACTAAATGGTTCCTTAGGTATTAATAAATGGGTAGTCTTTTCACGTTACAGGGGTTTACCTTTAGATTGATGGTTGTGCTAATTAGAAAGGTGAAACTTTGTATAGAAGGTTGCATTAAGGGGAATGATTTTGACTCTGCTTATATGACACTTTATATTATTCTGTGTTGACTGCTTTTGTGTGATAGCATGATTATGTGACGATTATTTTCCCTATGACTAACATGACTCCCTTTCTGATTCCTATTCTTTGTTTGGATTCATGGGGGTATTAAGGAGTGGTGGTTAGACATTTCCTGCAGAGCTGTGGTTGCTCATTCCTATTATATATTCATTTTTTTCAGGTTATGGACAAGAGGTTGTAGAGGGAGTTCCTCCGCAGCTATAGACGGATTTAGGGTTTTATTTTATTGTATATCTTTGTCTAAATGAGAAATGTATATTTTGAGACTAGTATGTATATTTGTAAATATTTTTCCAAACTGATCGTGTTTAAATATTGTAATTAAAGGATTATGGGATTTTACGTATGAAACCCACTTTCATATTTTTAGATAATGTGTGAACAGGGAACTTTATTTAAAATGATTTTGAATCAAGGGATTTTCTATTATCAGCTATGGACATTAAAGTTTTATTTAAAAAAAAAAATTCCGACATTGTTCCAGGGCTCGGTCAGACATTTCTGAATACAAGCATTTCTTTGCTCTGTTTTATATTCATAACCTGGATTACGGTCTAGGGTCGTGACACAAGAACCAAAATTTTTAGCTTATCCTTTATTTTTTTTGGTAAGCAAATCATTGTAGATAAAAATATGAAGCTTAAGCCATCGTACAAGAGATCTGACTAAGACGACAAAGACAAGTCAATTAAAGTTTGTATAATAATCCTCTGGTCATGTCGGTCACTCCCTCATCAACGTGGTTGTTTAGAAAAGTTATCAAAACCCAAAGCAACAATAATAGCAACAATCAAGTGAAGAAAGAGGGCTAAAACGAGAGGAAAGAGGAGAGATGATGAAGATAGAGGAATGGAGCCCAATCTAATTGAAGAAAGAGAAAAACGTCATTTTGGAAAGAAAAAAAAAAAAAAAAAATGGTAAGAGCAATGATGTGTCCATGCCATGTAAGAATCGGACCAAAATAGGCTCCAAAATTATTATATAATTATAAGAATATTTTAGTATTTTAAAATAAGAGTTTGAAGGGTATTTTAGACTTGAATAATAATTGTTAATGTATTTGTAATTATTTTGTTAAATTTAATCAAATTGAAAAATAAACTTTAAAATTAGACTATTTTGTTATTTAAGACTACTAAGTCTACCTATACATAGTTTTCCCTTACTAAAACCCTTTAGTGTCATCCCTTCTCATGTACGTACAACAAATTAGCATACACATGAATCATTACCCTTATAATTTGAAACTAATTTTAATTTTCTCAAATAACACACATACAATTTGTTTTTATGAGGAAAAAAACGAATATATGACAAATTTTGAAAGTTAGATGACACTATGTAATGAAATTAACATCCATCATTTGACATCCACATATTTATTTTATTTTATTTTATAAGACAAAGTACAAAAAATTCTCCTTGACTTGTAACATTTTTAGTAAAATTTTCTTATCTAATTTTTTACCAAAATAACCCCCTCGATTTGTAACCCATTCCAATAAACCCCTTTATCTAATTTTTTTACCAAAGAGTCCCCATCGACTATCTAAGGGGTTAAAAGAGTTGATATTTGGACCAAAATGCCCTTTTATTTAAATATTTATTTTCTCGAACTTTAAAAATTAATATCTCACACACCGTACATTCAAATATTGAAAATAATATATGCACGGAAATTTTATAAAAAAAGGATTTCAGAAAATATAAGGGTTGTTTAACAAAACTTCATAACCAGAGATAAATAGACAATCTTAAAAACTAGTACAACAATCTTATTTTATTTTATTTTTTTTATAAAATACTCGGATTATTTGTAAGAAAATTTTCAGAATTTTTCACTTGAAAAAAATTAGCCCCCAATAGAGACCAAATATTTAATTTTTTATTTTTTATTTTTAAATTGTGAGTCTACAAAATAATGAAAATACTTTGACGCAAAATATGATATCTCATTAAATCGATTTTTGTTAGGGCTAAATTTTTTTATATATTCGGCTTCATATGTAAATGAATAATTTTGAAAATTTTATTGCAAATATCTCGAGTTTTTAAAAATAAAATAAAATTGTTCGAGTAGAGTTTTAGATTGCTTATATCTCTCTGGTTATGAAGGTTTGTTGTACAAATTTTATATTTCTGGAATCCTTATTTCATAAGCTTTCCATGCATATATTATTTATAATTTTTAAAAGTACGATTTGTGAAATATGAATTTTTTAAGTTCGAGAAAATTAAGATTTAAATAAAAATGACATTTTAGTCAAAATATCAACTATTTTACCCCTTCAACTAGTTGATGGGGGTTATTTGGTAAAAAAAAAAAAAAAAAAGACATGAGGGATTTATTGGAAAGGGTTACAAGACGAGGTTGTTTGGTAAAAAAATAGACAAGGATTTACCGGAAAAAGACTACAAGTTGAGGGGATTTTTTGTACTTTGGCCTATTTTATATTTTATAGGGAAAATTGCATAAAATATCCTTCTACTTTGATTTATGGCAGAAAAGTCTATAAAAAAAAAAGGGTTTACATAAAACCTCTAACTATTCAATTTGTTACAACGATGTAATTATGACAAATATGTCACTTAATACAAATTTAAGGAAATGATTTATCTTAAATAAAGTTAAAATTAATACAAATAACTCATTTGACATAGCGATGTTTAAAAAAATTCAAATATTTTTTTAATGGTGGGTCTATAAGAAAATGAAATTGGTTGGAATAATTTTTTTTAAAAAAATTGAAAATCTAAAATGATAATCATTTTTAGATATCTATTTTTTTAAAAAACTTACATTAAAGGGCATTTTTGTCTATAACTTCACTTTAATGGCATGGAATTTTAATTTTTTTCTTAAAATATTATTTATTTAAAAATTATAAGGGAAAAAATAATTTATAAAAAATTTATTTTAAAGGGCATTTGCATCATTAAAATATTATTTTGCAATAAATTAGATACTTAGGAGTTTATATCAACTTTTTTCTTGATTTTTTTTTTTTGCCAAAAATTAAAAATAAAATTTAAAAATTTGCCCTAATTTTAATTAATTAATTAATTTAAAGCATTCATATCCACACGACACATTAGGTGGTTCCTAATAGCAACTTTAGTTCCCCTATCAACTTGAACACTTTTTTTTGGATGGTAATCAACTTGAACACTTTGTTCTTGGATATATCTCTAGGAAATGATCGGCGGGACGCTTCGGATCTGCTCTGTTGCTGTTGTCTCTTGCACACCGAACTGTGGGTGGCTCACACAAATGTGTTAAAGCGCTGATTTTGATTTTGTATACAATTAGGGTTGTTGCTAATTGTATGTAAGCCTTGTCTTACTGAATGGGCTTGGGCCAATCGTTGCTTGGGCTGTATTTTGGGCTTCGGCCTTCTGTATATTTTGCACAGCTATATATAAAACACTTTACTTTCCGGAAACGAAAAAAACAAAAAACTTTAGTTCCCCTACAAAATCCAATCACGACCGTTCTTCTTGAGTCGTGTCACACAACCCCTGGGGTCATTTTACTCTGAAAACTGAGCACAATTAATTTTACAAAATAACCCCTACTTTTGGTGACGTAGCGTATTTTTATACCACTAAAAAGAGCGTAAAAAGTAAAATCACAAGCCACAACGAATTCAAGCGGATTTAATTTATTTTCGCGTCCGTTTCTCCAGAAACTTCTCTCTTTTCTCCCCCTATATAAACCTGTGGTTAGGGAAATTACGAGAGACTCGCGTTATATTCTGTGCTCTATAGAGAGGGAAAAGAGAATTATCGACCAATTATTCGTTACAACTTGTTATGGTAATTCTTAACGTTCTTGATTCATCATCAAATGTTTGAAAGCTTGTTATGGATCTCTTGATTTTTTGTATTAGCATGTGATTATTTGATGATTCGCAGGTGTTTTTTTGTTTTTGTTTTTTTTTTTTGAAAAGTGATGACCTTGGATTTTTTTTGATTGAAAAGATACATATCTTTGATTTTATTGAAAGATTGTTTTGGATCTCTCGTTTTGTTATATAACTGGATGATTTTAAGTGTTTTTTTTTTTTTTTTTTTTTTTTTTTCAGTAAATGATCTTTGTATTATTTGTATTATTTCTGATGAATTATTTGATTTACCAAAATAGAATCGATTATGGTTTTTTTACGCATTGGTTTTTTTGTACTCACTCTTTTGACATATATATATTTACCTGTTTTGTGGTAAATACGATTGGGAGCCGGTACGGTTTTGATGATTTGGATTAAAACTAGATATAGTTGTGATTTTATTGGATTGTGATATTTGTTTGTTTTATATGTATTATAATTGATCATATCCGGTACGGTTTTGATGATTTGGATTAAAACTAGATATAGTTGTGATTATTGGATTGTGATACGGTTTTGATGATTTGGATTAAAACTAGATATAGTTGTGATTTTATTGGATTGTGATATTTGTTTGTTTTATATGTATTATAATTGATCATATCAGTTGTTGTTTGTATGTGTGTATTAGTATATGTTTGCAATTCTTATTTCGTAGCACATGTTGGAGCTCTTTATGTTTAATTTTGCATTATGTTTTCAAAGAACTATCTCAGTGTTTATATGTGTGTATTAGTATATATTTGCAATTCTTATTTCGTAGCACATGTTGGAGCTCTTTATGTTTAATTTTGCATTATGTTTTTAAAGAACTATCTCAGAAATTTTATATTTTTTGTTGATGCGTTGAAAATTTTGGAACCTCATATTTTAATGTTATTCCCACCAAAATACACACACACACTTTTTTTTAATTATTATTTTTTTTCATTTAACATGTGGTAAATACGATTGGGAGCCGGTACGGTTTTGATGATTTGGATTAAAACTAGATATAGTTGTGATTTTATTGGATTGTGATATTTGTTTGTTTTATATGTATTATAATTGATCATATCAGTTGTTGTTGTTGTTTTTAAGTTATTTATCTGAAATTAGTTTTAAATCATAAATTGTGTGTATTAGTATTTATACACACACACAATGTTTGCAATTCTTATTTCGTAGCACATGTTGGAGCTCTTTATGTTTAATTTTGCATTATGTTTTCAAAGAACTATCTCAGAAATTTTATATTTTTTGTTGATGCGTTGAAAATTTTGGAACCTCATATTTTTATGGTATTCCCACCAAAATACACACACACACTTTTTTTTAATTATTATTTTTTTTCATTTAACATCATGTCAGACCCGAAAATGATGTTTATATAAAATTCAACAAGAAATCTGTGCCAGGGAATTATTTAAATCTGTTTGCTACTCAATTAAAAGTTGGAAAAAAAAAAAAAAAAAGTTTATTGTGATGGCTTGGAGGTTCATTGTATTTGTCCCTTTTTCAATTAGTGTGTGTGGGTGGGTCAGTGGCATGAGATTGTTTTTCCCAGTAGCATTTGGCATAGATGGCATTAAAGATGATTATCGGCCTTCTTATTGTATGTGAACGCGCACAAGTCTTTGCTTATCTTTGTTACTTTGGTAGCGGTATCTAAATCAGATCATATGCTATAAAAAGGTTGTATTCTTATTATCAAGAGTTCTGACAGTATTCATAATACATTTGCCTTGTAAAACTGAAAGGCTGAAGTTTAGTCTGGTAACAAAAGTAAACTTGATTGATACAGTTTATTTGTCATAAAACATGTATTATATTAATGTATTGTATTAATGGATTAACATTAATACAATTCATGGAAATAAACTGTATTAAGTGGTTTCCGAGTGTTGGTTGTTTGGGCCTGGTCCATTGCTTGAAATGCTCAAATGGTATATATCTCTTTTTTTGTCTTAGTATTTCATTACATCACGATTCTTGTGCTTCTTCATTGGTACTAATTATTAATTTTGTTTTCATGTTTAATGTTTCCAGATGTCATACTCCAAAAGATCAAGGTGGGTAGATTTGATGCTCATTTCTTTTGATTCAGGTTTTTGGATTTGGATCTAGTATTGGCAATGTCTTTATTCTTGTTGCTAACTGCTTCATGTCCTGCATATATTTGTAGGTATTCTCGCTCTCCTTCCCCATACAGGCGGTACAGTAGGTCAGTTTTGAGGTCCTTGTCAAGGTCCTTATCCAGAAGCCGGTCAAGGTACCGAGTCAAGTCAAATTTTCTTCACCCCCCTCCTTTTCCCCATCTTTCTTTTATGTTTTTAATAATTAACTTACATTAAGGTTTTTTCATTTACCTATTTTGAAATGATTTAACAGGAGCCGTGATTCCAGTGATGTTGAAAACCCTGGGAATAACCTATATGTAACAGGATTATCACCGCGAATAACGAAAAGAGACCTTGAGAAGCATTTTGCAACCGAGGGAAAGGTACATGTGAAGTTCATTTACCCAACCCCTTTCCAGGGCCTTGATTCATGGTCTAGTTACCTTGTTGATCCCAAAGCTGTTTTAACGTTCAATTTCTCCTCACTGTTTTTTTTATTGTTCCACTTAATTTCTTCATTCCCTTGATGCTATGGATGTTAAGATTTCCATCTGAACTGTTAAGCTAAGTACATGAGTGGTTGAGGGTAGCTAGCTAAGCAGCTGATAGTTTCTTTAGGTTTTATTGGTCCATCCATGTGCCTTTGTTTTCACTGACATGAGTTGACTTTCTAGGTTGAGGATGTTCATCTTGTGGTTGATCCATGGACTAGAGAATCTCGTGGATTTGGGTTTGTAACTATGTGCTCTGTTACGGATGCTAACCGCTGCATTAAGTATCTGAACCGCTCTGTTCTTGAAGGCCGTGTCATCACGGTGGAGAAGGTAAATGAGCTTATTTCGTACCTGGCTTTCTATAACTTTTATTTTTCTCCATTTTTCATTGCATCTCTACTGTTGTTTGTGCTCATTCTTGTGTCAAGATGATACACAGTTTGCTATTAGTTATTTGTGTTGAAAGTTGTTTGCTTCTCTTCGCCTAAAGTTTTTTTGGCAGCAGGTTAGCTGTGTGTAGCAGCTCTTCACCAAATTACAACTAACAAATGAATCAAACTCATCAAGCAAATATCAGACTATTAATCAGAGGGTTGTATGCCCTACATTTCTCTCTTTCTCCAGCAATTTAACCTTGAGCTCTTTTAGTTGTTAATTGAATTAACATAATTCTGGCTATTGAATTCTGTTGGTATTTATTTAAGTTGGCTTTATTTTGGTACTTTATTTGATCCACTTGATTTTGTGGCCTCATGCTTTGTCTTTATTCAATATTTCCAGGCTAAGAGGCGAAGAGGTCGGACACCCACCCCTGGAAAGTATCTTGGGTTGAGAACAATCCGTGGTAAGATTATTGATTAATGTTGTAATTATTGCAGTTAGTGTTGATTATTGATTAACGTGGTAAGATTATTGGCTTGTAAGTTTGTTGATTATCCTTCTTCTTTTATTGATGTAGTGCGGCGTCGCTCTCCTAGTTATTCTCCCTATTATTCCAGGAGCCGCTCTCCTCATTATTCGTCCGACTTAGATAGGAGCAGGTCACCCTCTCCTCACTACAGGCGGCGCAGGTCTTATTCTTACTACAGTAGACGAGGATCATACTCCCCTTACTACAGTGAAGGATCTCGTTCCCCGTACAGCGGGTCACCTGTTAGCAGGCGTGATAGATCCTATTCTCCTTACTTCTATAGGCACAACTCACCAGATGACCGCTGGTACAGGAGAGGCCACTATCGTTCTATCTCACGAAGCACCTCACCTGTGGTGAGGGGGAGGTCGAGGAGGAGCTACTCAGGCAGTGTGTCCCCCAGGCGGCGGAGTTACAGGAGCTATTCACGCAGTGTTTCTCCAGGGCGCTCAAGAAGTTACTCTCGCCGCATTTCTCCAAGGCGGGGGAGGAGCTCGAGGAGAAGCTACTCTCGAAGCATTTCCCCTAGAATTAGGAGCTTGAGGAGGAGCTTTTCACGCAGGCTTGAGCATTCTAGGGGCAGATATTCTTCTAGGAGCTGTTCTAGGAGCCCAAGCGGGAGCCCAATTTCCAGATCTGAGACTCCTAGGTCTGGTTCACCTTCGTATTGAAGGGTTTGGGTTTGAGTTGGTAGGGGTCTCTTATTTTAGGGATAGTGGTTTAAGATCGTCAACTCATGTGGTTGTAGTTGGGGGACCTATTGTTTGGTTTGCCTGGTGGCTGACTATTTGAGCGAGCATATTGATATCAATGTAGTCAGGACTTCCCTTTTGTTCTATATCTTCTGAATAGCTGTATTGTATTTCGGTAGTGCTATCTTAAGCAAATTGATTCTTATGGTTTCTATTTTTGGCGTGGCTGTATATTTTTCTTTGGTTGGATTTTTGCAGTCTGTCAAGGGTATGATCCAGGGATAATATAATGACTGGTTACCTTGTCATAATTGTGATTGCATTTTCCCCATATGTTTCTAGGTGGTTATAGTTGTATACATTGGGCTGGACACCGACATGTCTAACGATATTGCTGGGTTTTTTGTCTGATGATTTGCTCTCATTACCGGATTAATTATGATCATGATCACTGTTTGACAACTGAGATGATGAAAATGGCAGACCTGAACTGACATATAATGCGCACTAGTGCTTCACAACCTCCCTCCTATTGGTAGTATATTAACTTCCGTTTTCGTGTAGGCACACCTATAGGACTCGTGCGCATTTTTTGTCGTTCGCTAGTGATTTAGGGGCTACATGGTGATATAATACGGTTAAAAAAAGATGAAGAGATTCTTTATACCATAAATGATACTGAATTCGGACTATGCTCCGGTGAGTTGAGAATGGGAAGAGGATTTGGTGGTGGTCTGGGACTCTCGGTGCTAGCAATGTTAAGAGCCCCCTATATCGACCAAAACTTTGAAAAACTGCCTGTTAAGATTTTTTTTTTTTCCTGACAGAAAGCCAAAGACACCAAGAAACTCACACCCCGTTAGCCACGACTCTTTAGCTGTTTGGTGTAGTCACGCCTCTGCCCTCATCTGTGCCACCAGATCCTCCGAACAAATTACACAGATTTCTTTGGCGACTTTGTTAATTCACAAAAAACCGGATTAGAGGTGATGCGAGTTGCTGCTTGATTATCATTAAACATTCTCAGAGGATAAGAGAGATCAACTCCTAGCTCACTTACAAAAAAAAAAAAAACTGCTTGATTCTCATAGAACATTCTCATAGGATGAGAGAGATCAACTCCAAGCTCGCTCAGTAAGGGAAAAAAAAAAAAAATGTAGTTGTTTGAATGGGAAGCTCTGTTGAAAACAACAAATTTGGAAAGAATGCAACTATGATGATAAAAGATTTGCATTTCGTTATTTAAATAGGAGCTATGTTGATACTAATAAATCATGAATTGGGAAAGAACAGAACGTAATTAAGATGATAAGCATTAAAAGGTTTGAGCATATAGAGTCATGTAGGAATACTGGAAACACACCACCGAACAAGAGATATAGAACTGGTAGCAACTAGCTACTTTCTTTAATAAAAATTACAATCAAAAGCTATCCAGGTGAAAGCAGGTCATTTTAGAGACAAGCTCACAACACAGTTAAAATGCAAAGCATTCTGCTTATTAATGATGCTTTTAGATAAGCGTATGTTTTTGTTGTTTTTGCTTTTCTAATTTGAATTTCTTTTATTTTTTCCAGCATAAAATCTGATAAAATAAAATAAATAGCATAAAGACAGTTAATACATAATAGGGTTGTAATTTGGCTTATGGTACGCGGCACTCCTCTATGTTCCAGATTTCCTTCGCGTACTGAGAAATTGTCCGGTCACTACTAAATTTGCCGCTCCCAGCAGTGCTTAATATTGACATCTTTGTCCATCTTTTCCTATCCCTGCAAGCACCAAACAATTATCAAGATAAATAGATAAAAAGGCCAATCAACATAATTCTCCACTTATGTTTAGCATGCATGCTTCCTCATATCAGGAGAAGAACCTAAAAGTAACAGATGCTATTTTGCTTCCCATCAGGACACCTTCGGTAGTCGTTGAACTCAACTTTAAGCCTGTTTCTGAAGATGAAGCCAGGTTACAGATTACACGAGTTATTACAGACAAGGTTGATTAAAGATGTTCAGCAGCAGCTTCTGCTAAAAACCCTATGGCAAAACCAGTGCACGAGGCTCCCGCCATTGTGGGGTCGTATCTTGGCTTATACTTGGGTTTGTAACGGGCAGATGTCAGGGTCCAAATCCATGGCCAACCAAAAAAACAGTGCTAGATGTAGCTCCTTGTATCGATATGTGAAGTGGGCATGATGATAATTTTTTTTTTTTTATAATTATCTCATGTGCACCAGAAAAGGAAGTCAAGGGTGTGATTATATTTGTTTCAAAACATGGAATAACAGCGTATGAACTCCGCATACACACATCAAATTAAGTGGGAGAGCCTGAATTTCTTACTTGTAAGCTTCATCTACTCTTGCTTGAGCATCCATGTAGCTTGGAAAGTCATGACCAACAAGAAAATAATCACCACGGCCATAACCAGAGTTTCCCTCCAAAGACTCAAGGAGTGGGTTGTAATCATAGCTTCCAAATGCTCCAGATCTTATAAATTGCTTGGCCTCTTCAAACCGAGGATCTGGCTTGAACTGTATAGTAGTAAACAAGAAACAATATCAGATTGGGAGAAAACAAAATGGAGGCTCAGAAGTATGCAAATTACTGAACCAACCCCACCCCTCCCCCACCACCCCCCCCCCCCCCCGGTGGCATTTGGAAGGGTGGGGGTCAGGAGTCAGATGGTCGAGAGAGGATAATTAAATTCCGTTTGCATACGATGAATGAAGTAAAAAAATGCAACTACAGAAAACAATTCTTTCTGAATATTACAGAGTTGGCCAGGAGGTCTTGTAGCATTTATTGGGATTTAAAATAAAAATTGATCTGTTGACTGAGCATTAAGAAACTACAGATTAATACCAGTCCATTCTCTCTGTCCTTGCGCAGCTGAGGGACTTCATCTGCTGTTGCACCAAAGAGAAAGAAATTTTCCTCCCCAATTTCCTCTCTGATTTCCACATTAGCCCCATCTAGTGTACCTATAATGAGGCAACCGTTGAGTGAAAATTTCATGTTGCTCGTGCCACTTGCCTCCATGCCTGCAGTGCTGATATGTTGTGATAGCTCGCTTCCTGGTATAAGCACCTCCGCTACAGAAACATTATAATTTGGTACAAAGACTACCTGAAAAGTTTGGGAAACAATAAAAAGACCAGTCTAAATTAAACCTTATATCATGCATAGCATATAACACAAAAAAGTTTCTCAGACAGGACCAAAAAGTTGACAGAAACGAGAACAAAAGTTTTGAATGCTACAGGAACATGTTATATGTAGTCCACCCCGCAAGCAAATAGAGGTACATTTGCAGCATCAAGAAAATCTACATAAATTAACTTACCTTCAAATAACTATTGACTTCAGGATCATTGTTGACAACAGCACCAACATCACACACAAGCTTGACAATCCTTTTAGCATTTGTGTATGTTGCAAATGCTTTACCGCCGATCATGATGGTACGTGATGTTGTACTTTTCCGCTCTTCAGGGCTCATCTCCTGTCATAATCAGTTTGAAGAAAGTTTATGAGATTTGAATAATGTTTACGAGTATAGCTACTAAACTTTGCTACCTGAAAATATGTACTCCAAAGGAACTGAACTTTGTTGAACACTTGAACTGAATGCTTGTAGAAGCATTTTGATCATTTCAATATTTATCATAAAAAGATCGCGAAGACTTCAGAGTTCAGACTAAAGAATCGAATGTGTGATAGTTTAATAGAAGTTGGTAAACTAGAAGAAAGTTTATGAAGCTTTGCTGCCCGGAAATATGTACTTTGATCATTTCAATATTTATCATAAAAAGATCGCGAAGACTTCAGAGTTCAGACTAAAGAATCGAATGTGTGATAGTTTAATAGAAGTTGGTAAACTAGAAGAAAGTTTATGAAGCTTTGCTGCCCGGAAATATGTACTCCAAAGACTGGAGCTTAACTTTGTTGAGCATTTTGATAATTTTCAAGATTTTATCATAAAAGGTGACTTCAGAGTTCAGACCAAAGAACCAACTGTTCAATAAAAGTAGTTATATTAGAAAATTTCAGCAATAGAATTAGATTTACACAGAATCTGTGAAGCATGTAAAATATACGAATATGAGGAACACATCATTGGAGGGTGCGTTGACATCAACCAGTAGATAATAACGGATTTATAACCTGACATTAACAAATTTCCAATTAAGTGGACATGAACAAACAACTAAACTTATCAACTCGGAAAAAAAAAAACAGCTAAACTCTCTCTCTCTCTTGGAGAACATATGAGAAGCAAAAAACAGTCCCTACATGGGCATGGGTACTTGGGCATTAGGTGTCCTAAAATTTATTTTTTTCTTTTTTATTTATTTATTTATTTTTTATTATTATTATTTAAAAAACAAATTTTGACTATGATAATCGAGCTATTTAAGAATGAATATTGCACAAGTAAATAATTGGAAATATTAGGAAGTCTGTTCTACCTTTAACTTCTTGTACCTATAGATTGCACCCAGAATATTTAGCAGCTGTCTTTTATATTCGTGGATGCGCTTGACTTGTATATCGAAAAGGCTATTTGGGTCGATGGTCACACCTGTCACTTTCAGTATGTACTGTGCTAAACGTTGCTTGTTAGCCATCTTGGCCGATTCCCATTCAGCTTGGAAGTCTGTTTTGTCAGCAAACTATAGGAGGAGGCATCAGCAGATATAATTGCAGTCACAGGAATCATTCATCAATAGAACAAAATGTATAGATATGCTTCGAAAACAAATACTATACGTACTTTCCGAAGATCTGTAAGTAGGTCAAGGTTGGTCACCCATTGATCGGTTTTTAACCATTTGGTGATTATATTACTGAGCTGGGGACTGCAAAAACGGAGCCAACGACGAGGAGTTATACCATTGGTTTTATTCTGGAATTTGGTGGGCCATATAGACACATAGTCTGCAAATAATTCAGACTTTAAGATGTCACTGTGTAACTGGGCAACACCATTCACCTGCAGAGAGATGGCAACAAATAGTCTCTTTGTGATTTCCTAGATATATTAATCAAAAGCTCAAAGGAGGAATAAGGGTTTCGTGAATAAAGGACCAAAAGAAGGAGATAGATTAAGGGTTTAGGAAGAAAGTAAAAGGCAACATATGCATGAAAATAATGCAAGTTCACTGGACAGGACGATTCCATCAGAAAAAAATATGCTTCTTATGAGTGTAGGTGATTGTCCAATAAGTGACTACAACATATTAGGTATTGAATCAAAAAATTGATTTGTCATATTTTCTCAAAACTATTCACCTTTCTGATAAACCAAATCTGAAACCCTTAATAATTTTCAGGAGAGTTTAACGAAGTGAGTACAAAATACAATCTGCTTGTTGATTTCTAAGGAGTGGACTTCATACCGTATGTGCAGACACCACACATAAATTTGCCATCCGCACAACTGGCTTTTGGGGATTTTTGTCCAAGATGCGCATGCTGGGAAGCTTACTCTCAAGGTCAGGTCGCGTAGAATGTATCATCTCCATAAACTGCAAGAAGTCATGATAGTACTCAAAGAACTTAAAATTACATATATTATCTATATATGTATATGCGTGCGTGTGTGTGTATCTATATATAGATAGATACATAGATAGAAAAAAAATAGAAAGGGGAGGAATGAGATACCCGCTTGTCAATCTCTTCTATGATTTCCATATGGCGAGGAAGAAGCTTCCACATTACAGCTTGTGACCATTTCTCAAGTGCTTCAGGAAGGACTGTATGATTTGTATAAGCAATTGTCCTGGTTCAATAATTCTTTTGTTATTTCATTAGCTCCCATCAGAAAAACGTATATGAACACAAACATCGAACAGCAGCAGCAGGAACAAGGAAATTATTCAGGGAAAACTCCAATTACTAAGTATTCTATTTCTACCAAACAAAAAAGATAACTGCACCTTGTTGTCACATCCCAAGCCTCATCCCATCCAAGTCCTTCATCATCCATAAGTAATCGCATCAGCTCTGGAATTGCAAGAGTAGGATGTGTGTCATTCAGTTGTACTGCAACCTTGCTAGGAAATTCGGACCATTTCCATGAGCCTTTCCCAACTTTTCTCTCTTTGAATGTGCAGATCATGTCCTGAGATTGATCCCAAGATTAGGAAATGAAAAGACACAATAACAGCTCCATGTGCCTTTCTTTAAAAAATCACACAAGAAACCTGCTGTAAAAATCTCCCTTAAATTAAAAAAATTAAGGCATTCTTGGTTAATAAACCCATGTTATACTCAACCTAAGGCAATCTAGTTGCATAGACTTCATAATGTGAGAAGAAAAGTCACCCTGGGGCTGAACTAGCATTGTTGAAGCAATAATGCCTTCTTTAAAATTAAATACTAATAACTGAGTTTGGTGTCCACATTTCCAATTTCCAGTTGATATTGCTGCCAACCCCCTAACACTGACAAATTAGATAAATGAGCAGGAGAGGAGATTGAGTTGATCCATTATCAAAGACAAGTATGACATCCATCTCGAAAAAACAAGGATAAAATCGAGGCTCCCTTTGCAATTCAGTTTCAGGTTGAAATTTGAATTAAGGCGAACTTTGAAGGGGACCAATATTCTTTGAGAAGTATGTGTTTGTTGCAGAAGCATCAATATGATGCTTGCCAACTTTGGTACAATGTCAAGATTTTAACAAGAAAAGTAGAGAAATCACAAAAGTGGCACAAGAGAATGATATGGTCCATAAACAAAGACGAGAGAGAGAGAGAGAGAGAGAGAGAGAGAGAGAGAGAGAGAGAGAGAGAGAGAGAGAGAGAGAACCAGCCAACCTGAAGTGATGCACTGCACAGGAAAAATTGTTGCTTTAGCCGTAAGAGTTTCCCATTTTCTGTAGCATCGCCAGGGTATAGAACAGCACAAATCTGAAAATGCACAACATTATATGTGTAAGCTATAAAGAATCAGTTGCAACACAGGCAAGCACACAAGTTTTTTGAATGAGAAGCAGCTTTCTAAAGGGGAATTTACAGTTTAGCATTCAGTCCGAGCAGTAACTATGTAAAAGGAAAAACTACCAGTTTGACTCACAACAAACTAATTTTACATTGACAATTCCCTTTTTCATAGTTACAGCTTAGAATGAACCCTAAACTATAATTCACCCATTAATTAATTACAATTTTAGAGTAATAACTAGAAGAATTTGGGAAAAGAGACTAACATTTTACACAACAGGTGGCAAGGAATAAGAGTAGTATCTAATACTAATAAACTAAACCGTATTATTTAACAGGGGGGTGGGGGGGTCTATATTTGCCACACTGCCTCTTGTATAAGAGTAAGATAGATCAACCTGCTGAGCACTAGAATGCAGCTGTGCAGCAGATTCATACTTGCCATCATTAAATTGAAATAGGTTAAAGTCCTCAGCACTAGCTTTGGCTTCCCAGAGCCGAAGGCTGATGGTATTCTTGGTTTTGTATCCTGGAATAGGCACATCATAGGCAAGAGCTTTTACAACCTCTCCACCAACCCATTTTCGACTGTAATACATTCAAAAAACATCACATAAATAATGTGCAGAAGTTCATAGTAACTAACTAGCATTGTAAATTTGAAATCAGTACAGCAATCTAAAGTTATAATAATATTCTTCAACCAAAATGCGCAAGCAATACTCTAGTAAATGACAAAAGATGCTTGAGTTCAAACTTACAATCCAGAGGGCTGGACCTCAACCTGACCAAAGAATCTGACAGGGTACACAACATCATGCCTCACAACTTCCCATGGACTAAACTTCTGCACAACATCCCACAAAACTTATGCTTAGTTGAATTCCCATTATACAAGCAATATTTTACAGAATTTTCAGGTAAATCAAACCTCAAGCCAGTCATCAGCACTTTCTTCTTGGCCCTCCTTGGTGATCCGCTGCTTGAACAGCCCATATCTGTACCTCAGACCATAGCCCCATGCAGGCAAATTCAAAGTTGCCATAGAGTCTAGAAAGCATGATGCAAGCCTTCCCAGACCACCATTCCCTAGTGCTGCATCTTTCTCCTACAAAAATTATTCAAGCAACATCAATACGCTGCATGTAGGTATAGAATATAGACACGATAAGGTATGTTCAAAATGAATTATAACCCAATATCAGAAGCTAAAAATAGTTGTGTCCGGGAAACTGATTGCTTGAAATGGTGGAATAAGGTTCATGTCACCTATCCAATATATGTAGGTGGGATGCTATTGGTTGATTAATACCAACACACCCACAAAGACGTAGGATCTCAGAGCATTACTAACAGAATGGAACTGAATTGTGCTGACTAATTTGAACACGTCTTTTACAAGAGGAGAACACAAACAGGAACTTGTTTCCCTAAAGTTCCTTGAGCCAAATCTTATTTCATAATATGACCAGTTGCAGAGGTCTTAATGAAAAGCTATTGAAGCGAGTAAATTACAAATGGTACAAACTCTAAATGAGAAGACATCCATGGCACAGTGCCTTGCGTAATTATGGCATGGCCATAGCCTTTGGACAACAATGTGATGTGTGAAGGGTTGCAAAAAATTGGACTACCTGCTCAACAATTTCCTCGAGTTTATGACCTAACTTATTCAAAGCATCAGCATATGCATCTTGAATGTTTAGGTTTCCAATTGCGTTAGTCAAAGCTCGTCCTTGGAGATACTCCATTGATAGATAGTATGTTTGCTTTGGATCAACTTTGTGATAATGAAGATAGGTCTCATTCCATTGCTGCAGAACCAATCAACAAATAAAAAGAAGCTCCATTAATTTAGCTGCAATTTTACAAGTGAGCCAATGCATATGCCTATAGGAATGCACATAACAGTATTATGAAATCAAAAATCAGATTTCTGCTTTCTATCCTTTTTCCCCCTCATTACTTTGTGGTGGTGTAGACCTAGCCATGTCTAGAGATTTTTAATTCATATACTGGTTAAAGCATCTTAGCCCTCTAACATCTCTATATTTTGATATACAAATCATGAAGAAAAATAATATGAAATCAGCATTGTAGAAATCAACTAATTTTATTGGGTTTAAGGGTTAATAGATCCAAATGATTTGATCTAATGTGGACTTTGTTTTTGCCTCTCCAAAACTTAAGTTGAAGTGTGAAAAACACACATGTATATGTAAACCATGCTTTAACATAAAATGTTTCTTTATTTAACAATTGGATAATTAATTGGTATCTGCCAAATGATTAGTTTTAGCCAAAGTACATGCTGGGCCAATTTATTAGGCTTATGCGTCATTTATAGACATTAACTTGTTAATTTTAAGCATCAGTTTTGGTCATGTATTTGATTTAAATTTCGCCTATATCCACTTATAAATAAAAGCATTATGGACCATCTTCTACACAGCCATACGAAGTCAAGAAGATACTACATCATTCTTTTCCTATTTTCAAGTACTCTTATATTAAATCATTGATTTTCGGCAAAGAATGGTGCCAGGCGGAGTTTTCGTCTTTCCCTAATTTGTGAAGATTGAGGTACAGTAAGATTGGACAGCACTTTGTACCATAACAGTAATGCATGATTCTTATGGTGCAAATTGGCATACTGTGAGATGTGCAAATGTTCTTATAGGAAGTGATATAAAATTTGTGTGAAATCAAGCAACATACTCCACTTAGTATGATAATCTCCTATAGGTAAATGCTTTTACTTTTCAGTAATCAATGGACGTAATTTTCTAAGCAAAATATGGAAATATATATATATATATATATATATATATCAAAGTGTTTTCTTTTATTAGCATAATCCCACACAACATTTGGCAAGAAATATTTTATCATATTCGCGGTAACATGTAAAGGACAATTAATTTGAAAATTCCAGCGAATGGGCAAATTAATTGGTTTCTCTATGCCGGTTTTATTTTTATTATGTAATTGTAATAATAAGAGCCTACAGAGTATATCGTGATGCAATACTTAGTCCAGCCATTGAAGATCATAGCCGGGCCATTATGGATCATGACCATGGTGAAGATTGATTGCATGCATGATGGTTTCTTCTAGTAATGTTGAGCAGTGTGAGCAATCATGAATATAATGAATATTCGTGATTCACAACTCAAACCCCGACAACGTTTCTCAAAGAATAGATTCAAAATAAACCAACTCAGGATATTGATGACATAAGAAGCATAATACAGAGAATAAATCAGAAACAAGGAACAAACAGATCATCAGTGCTAGACAGTATTCTTCAAATATCAATAGATTAGTTTCATGGCTTATTAATTCTTACCTGTACCAGGCGATCACGAACGCTCTCTGCTGTTGCATAGTACGCTTGCTCTGGCTCAAACTTAAAAGCAGAAAAATGAGGACTGTACCGTACGTGGTAATTGATATTAGAAGCAATCTCTTTTGGTTCTCCGGCCATTGGATGCGCAGAGGCTGGAATCTTTGCAGCAACGCCATATCCAGTAGCACCATTGGATTTTTCTGTAGTCGTCATCCCTAGTACTTCTATAAAAGTACCTCATATAATGAAAATTCAATCATCAAACAACCAAAAATTGAAACTGATCACAGCTAAATATAGATAAAAATAAATAGAAAGTTCGCTTGAAAAAAATCTACAACAAACAAAATTACAAAAAAAAAAAAAAAAAAGGTTTACTATTGTAATAAAAATCAGATTCTTTACATTTATGTGTATATGCATGTGTATATGTTGACAAGAGAATCGAAAAATAAGAAATTGACATTAGAATTTGCCATGAAAGAATGCGAACCGTACATCAATTCTGAATTGAACTTATATATCAGTCAACAATTTAACTATTTCCGCAATTTATATTATATGATACTAAAGAAAATTAAAATTTAAAATCACTGTGAAATTATAGAAGAAGTGTATGAACAAGATTAACAATAACAGAATGGTAAACCAGAGAAGAGAATTACTTTGTGTGAACCGTACTATTCAGACTCCAATCCTCCTCAAGAATTCTGTGAAGCAATTCAATAAAGCTACATAAGAAAGAGAATCACGTGAATCAGAGAGCAATAAATATATATATAGAAAGAGATTAATACATATAGGTCGTTAAACGAACCAACTTGCAGAAAAATCGAATCTCGGTTATGAAAATTGAGAAGTGGAAGAGCTTGTTAAACTGAATTATATTTAAATGAGAAGAAAGGTACGAAGATATTTATAGATTTTATATATATATATATATATTCCAAAAAAGAGAGAAAGCGACAACCGAATATGCGAAACAGTATGTATTTTAGAGAAGGAAAAGAGGACAAGAAATGGAGGAAAAAAGCGTTTGATAGAGAATCTGCGGTGGAGAATGGTAGTCGATGATAGATATAGGAGAGAGAAAGAGAGAAGAAGACGGAGGAGTTTTTGTGGAAGTGATGGGTGGGAGAGTGTCGTCACATGGGAACGGAGGGGAGTGAGACTCAGTGAGTGGGGTGACATCAGGAGAGAGAGGGAGGGGGTGTCGACGTGGCGTGTTGAGATCGGGAATGGGTGCTCGATATTGGAGGAAGGGAGAACACGTGGGTGTGTTGAATAGGAAAGCGCGCACCACGAGAGAGAGAGAGAGAGAGAGAGAGAGAGAGTAATTTCCATATTTACTCTCCATATAATTGAGGTGTGACCGTGTGGGGGATCCAATAAAAAGTGTTTCCTCTCCACGGGCTTAGTGTGATACTTTGGACTGGGCCTGGGGACCATGGGGTGCCGGTCAAAATCCGATCCGTAATGGACTGGTTTTTGTTATTTAAATTAAGTTTATGTTAAAAATTTTAAAATTTATATTTAATTGGAATTGGATTTAAAATTTGAAATGTCTATGGATCCAACCCAACCAAATTTATTTTTAACAATATAAGCATATCCAAATCTTACCGAATTCTACATAAATTGTTCTTATGAATGTCAATTTAATTCGCCCGTCCCAATTGAGATCATTCTAATTGGGTTTGGGGCAAGTTTGAGGAGACAATTTGAAACTCGCAAGGCCCTAAATTAGTAATTAATAAATAAATATTCTTTTGTTAGTAATAATATATATATTTTATGATAGTTTTCAATTTCAACAACATTTTTATTATTACGACTGTTAGATACTTGACTATACTAAAAAGGATTTACAAATTTTATTTTAAATTTGTTAAAATTCAAAATGTGTTTGTTTAAAAGTATGTATACGAGGCGCTTCGAACCCGCCCGATGCGGTGCCCCAAATTGAGTTTGGAAAAATATTTTAATTAATGAAATAGGTTTGAAAAAGAGTAATTCGTTCTAAACCTGTTCCGGCCTTAATTGTACTTAAGTTTGGATTGAAGTGTTATTTAAACATTTCCTCTAATATTTTTTATTTTTAAGTATCTCAAAACCTCACCCAATAATCTAAAACTCGTCACATCATCAACTTTATTTGGATTAAATTATTTATGAACTCAAACGTACTGGAAGTTATACAAATTATGATGTGGTATGTTTTGGATAGACGTAGAGATATATTGGAAAGACAAAATTTGTCCTATTTATCTCTTGGTGGCTTTACATGATTCTTAAGCAACAATTATTTCACAGCTTCATCAAGTTGAATGAGCTGTAGTATATTCGATACAATTCAACAAAACTTTCTTATAACTATTTAGAATAGGATATATAATCCTGTGTCTAACTAATTCTTATTTATTTATTAATATACTATGTTATTTTTATTTTTTTAATATATATCTATAAAATATTATTAATGTCCCTGTGAAATTAATACAAAATTTCAGTCTTATTCCTCTTACCTAAAATTTTATGTCCGCCCTGCCTTTGTCTCGTAAGTCGTTGGTCATCACTGTAAAAGTATAAATTCAAATAAAAAGATTTTAAATGAGAGTGAATATGAAGTTATATGCTTCACCAGTAGCCAATACATGATAGATCTATTTGACAAACCAAATTGCTCATGCGATATCGGAAGTAGGCACGGATGTGCTAAATTTATTTGTTATTACATTCTACACTTTTAAATTTGTACTTCTTGTATTTATACTCATAAAATTTTGAAATTGTCCTTACTGAAATTATGAAAAAATCTCTCTATATAAATTTGTCCCCCCTCATATGAATTTCTAAATCCGTCCCTAATCTGAAGAATAGATAAGAATTTATTTTGCCAATTAAACAATTAAAGCTTGGAGTGGTTGATTAAAATTGAAGCGCGTCTTTTTCTTTTCTTTTTTTTATTTTTTATTTTTTTAAACCTGAAATTCATCAAGTATTTTCCCACTTAATTAAGTTTGTTTTTTCTCAATATATATTGGTTTTGCAAGTTGAGTTGAAGCTAAAAGAGTTGCCTTTATACTTGAAAAACCTTAGTTTTCTTTATCTAGAATAAGTTTTGGGTCCAAAAATTCTAATAGATGAATAAACAAGTTGTTATAAAGGGAGTCTTGTTTTATATTGGATTCGAATGGAAAACTAAATAGATGTATATGGGTTAGGTGTTAATCCCACCTAACATAACTTAAGTTTTTGAGTCAGATCGCGAAACACATAATTTGTTATAATTAGTATCAGAGCCAGATAGTTACAGTTGGTACCAAAACCATATAGAACTCTTAGGGCGGGAGTCTTCACTCCATTACATAAAATTAATAAGATCCTACTTATTATCTTCTAATAATATTGGTACTAAGATTTAACCCATGATTTTTTCTTTTTTAGCAAGATTTACCATGGATGAAGGCTTGAATCACCACTTTCCTTGACGACATTCGTAGTGCATAACAAAAATGTGGGGACAGAAAAAAAAATAAAATAAATAAATACCAGTTGAATTCATGACCATAAAGAATGGTAAAATCTTGGAACAAAATGCTGTAATATTAAATTATATAAGTAGTAAACTCAAATAAACTGTGCTGGCTAAAATACTGGTGTTTGGGCCTAGTAGATTGGGGACCATATTTGAAAAGCAATCTTGGAAAATCTATATATATATGGCTTGTACATTTGTCGTCTTCCAAAGAATCAATATGGTCACTCACCCATGTACTGAAGCTAAAGTGAACGGTTCAAATTTTCTCATGCAAAGAAAGAGAAAATATAGCTTGTTTAATAATACTACCATATATATATATAAATAAAGAAAAGTGCAACACTTCATTCTCAAGCAAAATTCATTGTCAATGTCCACTTTTTTTGCTTTAGAAGGAAACAAAAGGCAAAGGTAATGAAGAAAATCCATCTTTCCCAATCAAACTTTAATTTGTCATCAATTACCTGTTCTCATGCCACCTCCATATACATATGCTAATTATAATTATGATTTTAACCACTATTTATATAATTTATTGGTCCTTTCACTTTAAATTTTATTGAATAATTTTCAAATCGCTACTAAAAATGTAAATTTTTACTATGATTGCTTTTCAATTTTCATTACTTCAATATTATGTATCACACGGGAAAGAGTTATTTTATAAATAAGCAAATTTTTAGTAATATTTTTACTTATATATTTTTAAAATTCTCTGAATTATTATTACGAAGTATTTATTTATTTGTTCATTTTTGTTTTGGCGCTCTTCCAACTTAAATAAATGCATCTAAAGCGGACTACAGTATTAAATTGGAATAGATGATGAAAGTATTAATCATACACGGGCACCTTGTTGCCAGTGCCTATGAAAATGATATCATGAGAAGCATAGTGGGCCCAATTCCGTTCATATTTGACCATCAATCTTTACCTGGATTTTGAAAGCAAAAAACACTAGTTTGGGACCAGAAACTGAATAAGTTTTGAGACTTAATTTCCAAACAGATCCTAACTTCCGTACAAGCACAATTTAAATTAAAAAGTATAATTTTGGTAAGTATTTAAATAATGTAATTTTTTAAAATGTAATTAAAAAGCTAAATTGGTTTTTTTTCTTTTTTCTTTGAAGTGACATGAGCCAAGTAGAAGGGGAAGCATGGATAAACTTTTTATGATTTGGTCTGATGGAGAAACAAAGGAAGTTGAGAGAGGAAATGAGAGGAGGTGTGAGAAGAAGAAAATAAAAAAAAAGTAATCGAAAATACCTGCAAAAAAAATATTTTGGAGAAATAACAAAATATGCATTCTATCACTTTCTCTTCCCAAATTCAATCACTTTATTTGGCTAAGAAAGTATACAACTTTGTAATTTTTTCCATCCTATTATATTCAATTTTTTTTTTTTTTTTTTTTTTTCAAATAAAACATTAATTTTCTCTTACCCCTTTGTTGGTTTGAATTCTGAATCAAAATCTAATTTGATTCAAAACAAATATATACAAAAACACTAAAGTAAACAAAATAATTTATAAGTAGTTTATTTTTTCTATAAAAAACTATTTTTGTACATGTTTATAAACATTGTGTTTAGAGGCTAGTTTGAGGATTTAGATTTTTCTCAATGTGAAGATGAGGAAGCCTTTTAAATATGCAAAACTAAAAAATAGATCGATTCATATAAGTCATAGTGATGCCATGTTTTATTTATTTATTTATTTTTCTCATTTCTTAAAACTTTGTGTCTAAATAATTGTTTTGAGTAATTATGTATTGTTATATATAAATAAATAAGGGTGAGACAAAAAATTATAAATACAACATTGTGTGGGGGGCAAAAAAGAGGGTTTATCAAGGGTTCTTATCTGTTTACCTCATAAGTAGCATTTTACTTCCTTGTTCACTGTTCACCTCTGTTGCAACTACATTTCAGTTTTCACCCTCTCCACTCCTTGCTCTCCCCTTTATCGCCTGCTTCTATCATGAGCCGCGTGTGCACTGAGCACCTCCGGTTATGACTCTCGAACCTTACACTCGTCGTCTATCCAACTGTTACCGTCACCCGGCCGAACCGGTCACCGGCTTCTGTGCCTCATGCTTACGCGAACGCCTCGCCGGAATCGACCCTTCAGGTCTCCCGGAACCCTCTTCCTCCACCTCCTCCAGCACCGTCACCGCCACCACATCTCTCAAATCCGTCCTCAGCAACTCCGGTGGCGGCCGAGCTGATAGAGCCGGTCACCGGAAGATAGCCTCCTCTTCCTTCTCGCCGGAGCTCCGTCGCAGCAAATCCGTCGCCGTCCACAACTGCGAAGCTTCCTCCGGATTATCTGAGCCTCGCAGAAATTCATGCGAAGCTAGGGTTCCTAATAGTCTGCTAAATCTGTTCCTCCTCGATGATAAAAGGAAACGACTTGATAGAGAGCCCGAGGTTGAATCGAAGAACTTAGGGTTTTCAGGACTCACTGATCCTGTGCCAGAGTTGGTTGGAGAGGATGAAAATGAAGACAAAACTAGGGTTGCTGAGGATGTGTTGGGACAAAATGTCGATGACGAGAGAGCTGGAGACGATGAAGAAGAACTCAAGACGGTGAAAGAGCTCATAGATCTCGAATTGCAGAGAAAGAAGCAGATGGGGATGGATTTGAAGGACATTGCGGGAAGTTTTCGGGCGGCGGCGTCGGTTTTCAGCAAGAAATTGCGAAAATGGAAGCGAAAGCAAAAGGGGAAGAAGTATTACGCCGGAGCCAACGGTGGCGGTGGCGGTGGCGGTGATCTATTGACAATGCGTGTTGAGAAGCCAAATGGGTGGCAGTTGAGGGAGACACAGTCGGAAATTGGGGATTATGGATTTGGGCGGAGGTCTTGCGATGTGGATCGGAGATTTTCAGTTGATGGTGGTCGAATGTCTTTAGATGATCCAAGATTTTCGTTTGATGAGCATAGGGCTTCTTGGGATGGTTATCTGATTGCAAGAACAATTCCACGGCTTACACCAATGCTTTCTGTTGTTGAAAATGCGATGATGGCACCGGTGAACAGGTCCGATAATCGGAGGTGGGTTGAAGAGCAGATGATGAATTCAATCAATGAAGATGAGACGACCTCTGGTGGATCAGCTCAGACTAGAGATTACTACTGGGATTCTTCCTCTTCACAGAGGCGAAGTAGTTTTGATGGTTCGAGTTCTATGAAGAGTTCCAATAAAAAAACTTCAGCATTAGAGGGTGATGAAATGAAAACTGTATTGAATTCCAAGGTGTCCCCTGCAACAATTGATATCTTTCACGGGACAAAGTTGTTAATTACAGAGAGAGAGATGGGGAATCTGAACTCGAATTCTTTCAAAGATGATCAGTTGGAGAGCATTGAATCTGCTTCGAAGAAAGCTACTTTTGTGGCAAGTGGTGGTAACCCAAAAGAGGTCAAGAAGCATGGTAGGTGGCGAAAAGTGTGGAACTTTTGGGGTTCTAGGCAAGGGCTGATTGACAGCAAATATGGAGATGTTGGAGAAAATGTGATTGACCAGTCACTTGGAGAGCTTTACGAAAAGCAGGCCGGGGAGGCTGATGGAATAGAGAATGAGGCTCGTGGCGAGAAGGTCATTCGTAGCAGTAGCTGTGTTAATTCTAGGAGCTCCGATAAAATGATTGGATCACATGGAAGTATGAGGAGTGTGACAGAGACTAGAGGCTGTGTTCCGAAGATTAAAGAAGATTTTGTGCTGGATAAAAACCGGAGTGGCAGGTATTCTCCGAGCAACTTTGATAATGGTCTATTGCGGTTTTATTTGACACCAACAAGGAGCTATAATAACAAATCTGGAAAAAGTAGGCTAAAGAATTCACAATCTTCAGCCAGTAGTGTGTTAAGGTTGGACTGAATTGATTGTAAAAGGATTGTTGATGCGTTTCTTCTGTGAAATGAAGCTCTGTAAAGATGTTGATGCGTTTCTTCTTGTTATTCGGACAACCGCACATCATATTGTTACTTTTCTGTGCTTAACAAGCTTTTGCAATACAAAGGTTGTATTTCTTCTTTATTATTGTTGTCAATGAGAACTATTTTGCCAGTGTAGCTTACTGTATGTAGAAAATGGAGTCATCTATATAATAATTTTGCATGCTATCTAGACTGATCAAATTTTGGGTTCATGATGTCTACAAATCTTTGGCAGGCCTTGTTTTTTTGCACGTTGAAGTGGGAATGTGAATATAGAATTTTGCCCTAGAATAGCTAATTAGGCCACAATAACTTGCAAAAGGTTTGGGTAAATCTGTTGGATATTGAAGTGAGATTTAAATAGGGTTCATTGCTTGGTAAAGTGATAGAAGTTAATATAGTTGAGCCATCAGAACGTATTTGAGTTTGAAGCTTACAAATAATGGCAGAAGCTAGTTCTTTATCTTGTCCATCCTTTTAAGCATCCCGCATTGGTTGAACCAACCACAGGCTCTCTCTTTTTGCTTCTTGAAGTGAGATGTAACTGAGACTTTTTCGTACTTTAGCATTTCTTTGAAGGAGTTCATTGATGGTTTGCGTGGTTCTCTTCAACTTTATTGGTTAATAAAGTTGTGAATCTGCTTGATTTAGTTCTCTTTGGTCTTTACAAATAGCAAACTACTTATCCAAAAAAAAAACAAAAAAAACAAATAGCAAACTGTACAAAACTTATCCTTGATCTTCACACTACTTGAATTTTAACTAGGAGTTGTTCTTCCGTGCTAATTTATGACAACACTACCTATACCTATACGCAGTTGATGCTATGGTGTTAGTATGAAAATTTTACAATTTGTCCAATTAATGTGTCTATATAAATGAACTGCGTGTAGTTTTTAATGAAAATTCCCCAACCATTGACTGTTGGAAAGTGCTCGTTGTGGGGTTCATGTAACTAGGGCATCAGTTTCTCTTAAGAACTTGCATTTAGACCATTGTTTTAATATGAAATTGCTGAAGAGTTGATTCAGTGTTTATCATCTGGATAAACTAAAAACATGAGGATATAAGTCGCACAGAGGTTTTTATTCACAGATACTTCTAGAATTGGACAATACATGTACTGTTACAAAGTATCAACCTGAATGGGAGTTTTGTTTCCTTTTCTTTCGAGCACCTCAAAAATTTAGAATATGAAATCTTGCAACATTAAGAGTAAAGTAAGTTTTAGTTTTTGTAAAATTAAGGGAATATCCAGGAAAGGATTTGCAAGTAATAAAAGGGTTGTATGCTCAATTGTTTTGCCAACCCTTGTCCTGTGGAATAATGTCGGAATTATAGGCAATATTTAGGATATTGGGGTATATCCTTGGAATTATAGAAAGAGACAAATTATGTAACTTTGAACTGGTCTCTCTGTCCTGCTTTGAACATATTCTAACCAATGAATGTTTTATCTTCATATAGTGTCTGTGTACAAGGAGATTATACAATTCTGTTGATGTACAGGTCACTAGCAGTGTTAGATGTCAGGTATTCTGGGGCTTGCGACGTGGAACTGAATGATACTGAAAATGTTTCAACTCTTCAACGGCCTTGTTTTTTTTATTATCATTGGGCTGCTATACCCTTTATAATGCATGTGACAGCAATTTATTTCCATAATGCGTGTGACTGCAATTTATTTCCAGATGCTAATTTCTTCTATTAGCATCTGAACTTGGATCTCATCTGGTGTAACTTGGTAGCAGGGAGCCGAACTTTGGTGGTTAATACTTCATACTGAGAGGTCATCGTTGTCGTCGTCATCATCCTTGTCTTTACCACATAGATTCTCTCTTTCCACTCTTTGCAACTTTAATGCCATATCTGATACTAGATTTAATTTTTTGAAGTAATTTCTTATAGTTTTGGTCTCTATGCAAATCAATCTTCCTCTCCTCACGGGTGCATTTAAAGGTCTGCGTTGACTTTATAATTAGAGGTGTACTAGGTTTTTCCTTGAGAAGCCTTGAAACTGGTTGCCAATAAATCTGTTTGATCTCTTAAAATCTAGTATGAAGTGGAGAGTCGGCACAAATGCTGGATGAGGAATAGGTTATCGACTTGAAACAAACTTTTACCTTTGGCATTATTTGCATGAGGTGTTGATTTTAGACTGGAATTGTGTTCTCTGAATGTTTTACTGCTGTAACTTGTAACAAACAATGGTCACTCCCAGGCCCCAGGTGTTTACTGCTGTAACTTGTAAGTTGTAACAAACAATAGTCACTCCCAGGCCCCAGCACCCGGAATTGGTTAGACCAACATGGGTAACTTCTTCCTGGAATATTCAAGGTTTTTGGTGGAACCATAGGCGCATGGGATTTGTATTCTTGATGAATGCACTGAAAAATGTACAGTGCATGGTCCCTGAAAGGTTTATTTTATTCTCAGGGACTTCTAAACAATGCTCGCCAAGTATCGGCAGTCCAAGGACCATGTTTTCAGGGTCAGATCTCATGAATCCGGATCCCCTCATGCACCATTTAGATCGTTTATGCAACAATTCACATTGCTTACGCAATAACTTCACATCTTTTATGTAACAAATTTACATAGCTTATGCAACAATAATTTTTTCATGTATTTGTTGCATTGCACTAGATATCTTATTGCTTCTTTTAGGAAACTATTTTGAGTTATTGGAGTCATTATTGCAAAAGGATGACAGCAGGGGACCACCCCCTACACTAATTCCGTACTAATTTCAAAGTTACGGGAAGATTTTGAAACAAAAAGGGTAAGTTTTGAGCTTTCAGTAGGAATAATATGACATTTTATACTAGGAAGAACAAAATTTGTCTTTTTATAAAATTTTGTTAATAGCTATATTGAAAAAAATAAAAATAAACCACAAGTGCCAAATATCTTAAAATAGTAAATGTTGAATGGTCTATTTGTATATAATTTGTCCATAACAAGAGGAAGGTGTAATTTATCCTTAAACAATTGGATTTCTTTAACCTATAGCACATGATAGAATTTTAAAAACAGGGCTCAGAAAATTGGTCATACAAATAAGACGGTTGAATTCTAATGCAAATCTCAAGGCTCAAGAACTAAATGGTACTTTTAGAGGTGCCTATTTATTTTATTTTATTATTTATTTTTTGTTGACAAGAAATTGCCTGGTTATCTTTACGGAGACTTAAACCTTTCCACCTATTATTTTGGAAGACAAAAAAGTACCATTAGACTACATCTTTGATAATTTAAAACAGTTCAGATGAATGATACAAATGTCAAGTATTGTAGGGATACCGCTAGAGTCACATACATGGGTTCCTATGGATAAGAGGAGGGTTATTGATAAATTATTGAATGAATTATGCTATCAGAAGCTCTTTATGGAAAATTTAGGATATAAATAATCCAAATTTTTTGTCTTGAAAGTTCAAGCAAACCCACCTGCTTCAGGTTCCAACTCTCAATCTCATCTATAGAAAGAACAGATCATATAATCTAGGTTCATAAGAGTAATAATAATAATAATAATAGTGATGATGATGGTAACAAGAAATTAAAAAAATTTATGAACAAAAAAAAGAAATTAAAAAAAAAAAAAACCACTCATCGAAAGATTGAAAAAAAAACACTCTTATGCAGCTACAGAAACAACACATGCACAGCAAAGACAACACAGAGTATTCAGCGGAGAGGATAACGGATCCAAGTCCAACAATAAATTAGATACAACCTTTTTATTTAAAGGCTACCAGATCTGCTCCCACATGCTGCTAATGGCGAAACAGGAATACGAATTAGAGAATTGGAGAATGTCAATATAGGGACATTTTTCTAACGCCATGGGATGCTTTAAGAGGTCCGACATCATCATCATCATAGATCAAAAAAATATATATATTTAAACACAAACAAAAGAGAAACCATTAAAGAGGATCAAACATATCCAAATTAGGAAAGAAAACTGTGGCTATTTTAACTGGAAAACCTTCATAATTTCGAAGAATCAAGCCCCCACCACTCTTTAGAGACTGGATTATAGGATGCATCAAAATCGAGCTTCAAATGAATTAGTGAAGGACGCAGCCATTTAGCAGGATGAAGAGGAATTTCGGTCCAAAATATCCCGAGGATCTGAGTCTTCATGATTAAATAACTTATCATTTCAAGCCTTCCAAATTTGCCGACCCCAGAGGAAGACTAGTTGTAATAGAAGGAAAGAGAAAGAGAAGGCGTCCAAAAATAACATGTGGGGTTATTAAAAATGACTTTACAAAGATAAACATAGTAGGGGAAATGAAGTGCAATAGAATAGGTTGGGTGGAGAGAATTCATGTGGCCAACCCTCAGCAGAGTGGTTTGAGGCTTCAGAAACTTCATTGTAGAATTGGTTAACAGGTATGATATTGACAGAAATGTATTCTGCACATTGAAATTGTGGCTTTTCACACACCTCCAAAAATTCATTATAGTTTATGATGCAGGACAAATACTGTTTAGCTACGAACTAGAATGAAAGAAGGAGATGAGAATGAGAAGATGAGATGAGACCAGACGAAAGAGATGAGGTGAGAAGACGGACGAAGGGGATGAGGAGATAGATTGAAGGGGGTAGGTTGGAGAGACTGAGGGATTGAGAAAAGCAAGAACCCAGTGGAGAAAGAAGACACAGAGGAAGAGTTCGCAAACTCGCTATATTATTCAATAAACCAAAGCTAAAATAGTCTGGAGGGGTGAAATCATAACAACCCTTAAAAATAGAAAAATATGAAAATAACCTAAAACAAAACATTACCAAAAGTAATTAAAAACCCTAATTTACATCAATTCCTAATTTCATTTCTCTTTGACCCTTCTCCAAAAGTAAAGACACAATAATTGTTTACATACGAAGATGTGCACATAAGAAAAGTCTTTCAAGTAAAAACAATATAGTGAGCAGTTTATAAAATGGCTTCAGAGCTCAACTAGTACACACAAAACTAACCAATTGCCTACAATACATGATCCAGATACAAGAGTTGAAGCTGACTCTTGTTCTCAGTCAAAAAAAAACTTTATGTGCATCAAAATTTTACAACAGAATACAAAACAAGGCCTCTAAACTCAATCAGAGACTGAAAAGACTTTAAAATGGTACCCGAGTTGCCAAGCATCATCTTTGCCCAGTCAGGTAATGCGTCTTCACGTACTTAGAACTGTATGAGGTAATGTAAAATAGTACCCGAGTTGCCAAGCATCATCTTCGCCCAGTCAGGTAATGTGTCTTCACGTACTCAGCTCGAGACCTTTTTTGAGGACATTTGGAATACAAAGCCCCTCCAGCCTCCTCATCATCCGTATCGATGATCTTGCATCCTGACCTGGTCTTCATGCTTATGCGTTTAGGAACATATGAATTGAAGTAGTAACTAACTATACTTTTTCTGCAGTGGCATTGCAAAGACTTTAAGGCAGGCTTCATGAAACTTTTACCCTTTGAAATGGGATTCATTTTCACAAGAGAATCAAATTTCTTCTGCTCCTCCATATTCCACAACTTGGAAACCTCTTCACCCATCTCATCAAATTTCCATTTCCAAAAGGCAGGACCTAGTTCATACTGCAGCTGGATCCTTCTGTCAGTAACATGGCGTTTAACGCATTCTACAGAACCAGGGGAGTCACAAAGACAAAAGTCAGGCCTCCCTTTCCCAATTGCATCACCTTTGGTTTCTGCGCTCCTGTCTTTAATTGGCCAAACTTGAGTGCCTAACCAACTTGAAGTACTTGACTCACTTTGAGGTGGTGGACCAATCCAATCTGGAATATCAGCTTGAAAACGGGGTCCAACGGGAATTGCCAGTCTGAGATGATCATCCTTGATCTTCCTTCTCTGAAGTTTCTGAAGATTCAGTTGCTTCAGCTTCTGCATATTTGACGAGTTTGGTTTCTTGACCAATTCGAAGAAACAGAGTAAAGATTGGACCTATGATTAGTTTATCAGAATGGATGCTAAGAAGTTAGCGTCTAATGATATTGAGTATGCTAAATGACTCTGGTTAGCCAATAATACTTTGCTCCTCAAAAATCTCAAACCAAATAAATTCTTGAAAAGGTGGAAAATTCATTTGAAAAGGTAACAACAAATGTACTATATGAAGGGTTTCTAAATAAAAACGGAAATTTCGTTCTTCATTCTAGGGAAAATTACACAAAATTATAATTTTTCTACAATCAGTCTGGTTTATATTTATCTTTTAGATTGTGTGTCAGATTCTACTATGGTGAAATAATCCAAGAAACATATGCTCAACACCCACCCACATCTAAAACCGACATCTATAAGCTGATACAGAATTCAAGGACAAGAGAAATAATTAAAACTTTTACTAATTCTACTCAATTGCTATTTTAAGGATTTTAGTTTGAAATATACACACAATTAGCAAACCAAACAAAGAAAAGAACAATTTAATAACTTCGATCTCAAATCAGGTTCTTATCAAGTACAATAATAGATAGAATTGATGACTCCCCACAGCACCAGATCCTGACTGTAAGAAAGGAAAAAGAAAAATATCACTGCATTACTCATAATTTCCATTTTTTTTCATGTCAAGACTTCCTATAAAACAACATATTTCACATAAAACTAAAATCTAAAGGTAAGTCTATAAACAGTTATTAGACTAGTCAATCAAAAAATGAGTGATCAAATGTGAATGTTGAGATGAATGTGTGACAAGACAAGACGTGGTAAACTTCAAAATGAACACGTTAGTGGTAAACTTCAAAATGAACACGTTAGTGGTCTATGATTGGGGCGACATTTATCGGAGATAAATAAGGTGATCAAATGTAAATGTAGAGATTACTATTGGAAAAAAAATATATATAATAAAATAAAAAATTAAAGCGATTAAGATGTTTGAAGCCTAAATTGAGAGTAAAGCTAGAGGAAGATAAATAGTCATTTCTGACCTACAAATTCACCAACCTTAGTTTCTTTTATACATATTCTTATCATTCATCACAAGTTTCCTGTCGGAGACATCAGCATCTGCCACCAAGGGCAAGGCAGACACAAAACTCAAACTTAATGGCAAAGACTTTCACCTGACACCGTGAAGGATGGGAGTTTGAATCCCTTTGGGCCACCACGAGAACTTTTTCGGGTAATTGCCCAATACAGGTCGCCAAGGAATTTTCCCGTAGCCCCATGCATGTGAGCGGGAGATTGCATATGTACGGTGATGAATTATGGGGTGCTCTAAGAGAAAAGTCGTACTTTCATTGTTTCAAAACCAGTACCTCTTCAATGGCCGAACCTTAAGTTTCTGATTAACAGAATTCTCTCTCAATAAATTACCGAAAAACATTTCTTTCCAATCTCCAAACGAACTTTAATCATAATATCCAAACAATCAAATCAATTAAAAACTAAATCTTTTCAGAGGCCATCACAATCAGTTTCATTATCATTGTCAATTTAAACTACTGCAACTGATGTGGAAGATTACGTTTCTATCGATTCCATACCTCACAACATTCTTGGATAATGGGACTCGATCTTTGACTTTTCTCTCTAAAAACGCCACTGCACCGGTGCAACCCGTCCCCTTTCTCTCTCTAAACCGGAAATGGTCAACGCTTTCTCTCTCTAAAAGGATGCCTTCTCTCTCTCCAAGAAAGCCACTGCCGTTAATTTCAGATTCTCGGTTTATATGTAGGAAGTAGATATTTTAGATTCCTGAAAGTTTAATTCGTAAGAAGTTTCAAATTTAGGGTTTAGATTCTAACGGAGCGCAATGGTTCTAAGTGCGCGTAATATCAAGGCTTGGCCTTCAAAAATGAAACCCTAATTCTAGATCCCAATTGCGATTTGGCAGTGAAATCTATGGTGGTACGATGAAGAACATCCATGGGGAGGATTCAGAAAAATAGAATAGAAGAAAAAAAGAGCGTGCAAGGAGAATAAAATTATACTAGGTATCAAAAGAAAAAAAAATTAATGATTTTTTATTTATCATTGCACTAGTTATTTTATATTTTCTAAAATTATGTTTATAAGTTGTTATAATAAAAAAATTTAAAGCAAGAAATCTGAAATATAAATTGAAGTATGGAATAAATAACTATATATTATCAAGCATGCCAGAAGTAATACCTGTTTTATCTCCACAATTTTTTCTCTTGTGCAAGCAACCTGTTTAAAATGATGAAAGAAACAAGGAAAAATGAGAAAAAATGAAAAGAAAATAAGTTAAATTTATATTTTTGACAATTTATTTATATATTTTTTCTCTTTAAGATAAGAAAAAAATAAAATAAAAAATTGGAGCATTTCACAAAGAAGAGCCCCCAAACACTACACCAACCTCGATGCCCTTGGTGGGTTTTGAGTCTCATAGTGATAGTTTTGTAGTTCTAGCATGACAACCCCCTTTTCAAGTAGAGGGTTAGACTTGCATGTGGTTCAGCTTGTACAAATTATTTGGTCCTAACGTATTATGACACATGTATCATATGATGAGTATTATTTAGTGAATAGATATGTTAGTAAATAACGAACTGAAAATAATAATGTATAGAATAATACAAGAAAACTCTTTCATAACAAGACGCAATTGAGACAGATTTTTTAGATAGAGTAGTGATATTCACACCGAACAATTTAGTAAATTGCCTAAACGAATAATTTTTAATTAGTTATTTATACCAAATACTACTAAGTGGAGGGCTCTACTTCCTTATTTGTTACATAATTGACCAATTAAAAGTGTAAGTCTAGCAATTTTCAACATCTATTCTGTAGAAGAATCATTTTCCTTTAAGATATATGAAAAGTCAAAATGTATCATTTAATAAATCTTTCAATTCAATGGTTAAATAAGGAAAACACATATCTATTTTCATGAATGACTCTCAGAACTAAGATTGTGCACACAGTCAACAAGGTGTATGGAAGGGTTGAGTGGACCACGGTACTCCATATGGGGATAAATTATTAGATGGTTTTGGACCATTAATAGTTGGTGGACTAATTCAATTCAGACTCTCCAATTGAGAAAATGACCCCACAAGAATATATTCTTATATTATAAAAAAATCTAAACAACGATGTGAATTAAACTAGTTCACCAAGTGTTAAATGATTCAGAAACATCTAATAATGGTCCATCCTTCCCTATCACTGCACAGAATGAATCCGGGTTCCTAAAAAATAAGCTCTATTCGTCCAACAAAAAGTGTCTCTTTTTAGAAACCTTAACCTAACTATTTAAATGTATAAACTTTTATGTTTTTATTTATTTATTATTGTGGTGAATTTTTAAATATATAGGTCCACATAACTTTAGTTGCTTTTATAACAAGTCAATGAGGATAAATTAAGAATATTAAAAAAATAGTACATTGGGTTTTGAAGTGGAATAATTATTTTGGGATAACCAAAAAGGACCTGGATCGACACTTTTTTATGAAACAGAAGAAATATTCAATAATGATATACAGAACTACGTATATTAAATACTTTCAAAGTATAAATATCAAATCAACTAAATGAATTTTGTTTTGCCATTCCATCTTATCTAAGGTCATAAACATGAAATCAATTATTTTAGGCCATCTTAATTTATCTTCCCTTTTCTCCCTGTGTTGCCCTGGTATGGATCACATTTACTTATCTCAACCACTACATGTTTTGGCTTTGGTTGTCATTGAAAATGACAAATCCACCTTAATGGATACTTGCAAAGCATATATTGATTGTGCTAAGCAAAATGATGTAATTGACGACTTTGTCTACTGTACAATCAATTTGATGTGGGGATCAGAAATTAGAATAAGTATCTAGAAAATAAGTTTTGTTATTTTTAAAAATTGACAAGAATTCTCCTTGGACTTTATTATTGGAGTAATTACAAAATTCGAGTACTCTTATGTTAAAATTGATACTCAAAATTGAAGAAGAAAAAAATGATTTGCGACTTTAAAGTATGTAGTCACATTTATTTTTTATAATTTATTTATTTATTTTTTAAGGTGTTAATTGCCCCCCACTCTTCACTCTAATTGAGTTTACTATTAGGTTCTATGGTAAACACCTTCAAGATATAACAAAGTTGGAAACTTAAAATATGCAATTAATAGCACTAAAGAATTCCCTTGAAGACTTCTTGAAACTATTTATAATTTGACTGAAAATAAAAAAACTGAGACATAAAGAGAGAATAGTATATTTTGAAGTTAATTATTTATGCTCAACTTTACTTTAATCTCATATGAATGAAAATTGCACAATTCTATTTTCATTCTTTTATATTAAGAATAATGATACATTTACCGAACCAAACAACCGAAATAATAGTCGAATCCTATATGGCATAACCACGTAATTCATTAACTCATTCAAGTAGGAGACTAAAAATCTCTGGAAAGCTAAAATGGTTTATCTTCTCTTTCTTCCTCTTCGTTAGGGACGCTCTCTGGTCTAAATTTCCTTTCCTTCTCTATCCGATTTCTGTAGGTATTTGGAAGTCTTTCATGGACACAGTTTTTAATGGCTTGGCATTGAGTTGTTAAAAAAGTGGTTTTTTTATTTTATTTTATTTTTTATTTTAAGGATGAATTGGTGCTTAAAATCAAACAATGGATACAAGCTGCTAATTGTCTCCTAAATATCTAGGCGAGGGAGGAGAAAGAATTTCAGTGACTGGTGAGCAAATCTTTGAAGGTGTTGTAGATGATATATGTTTCATGGAAACATTTCTTGCCTTGGAACCTATGCTTAATTTAGAGTTGGGTGAGAAACTAATAAATAAATTCTTTTAAAAAAAAAAAAAAAAATGGAACAGAACCTATGCCTAAGTAGATAGAGCAAGAGAAGACAAGTTGAAGAAGATTATGTCTGAATTTGTATTGATGAAGGAATTTACAAGCTAAAAATATCAAAAAAACAAGGCAGTTTACTAGGTGTCATTCAACAACTTCTATGGATGAAAGTATTTTAACATCTGCTTAGAATCTGTTACAGTGTTTTTGTTTTTTGGTTCCAATTATGTAAACATGTATGTTATTTAGGTCTCCAAAAATATGTATGACATTCAACATGAAGCAAAGATGTTGCAGGCAATGGCAGTCCGGCTGGTGATTATACCCTGTTTTTTTTTTTTTTTTCCTCTTTTTGAACAAAGAAATACATCAATAAAGAGTTAGAGGTGCATAATTCTTCTAATTTGGATCAAAGTCTTAGTTGAATGCTTAGGTGGTTGAGATAACTTATAGCCTTGCCAATGTCTGCTACCTCCACTTAGGAGCAAACTTTTATTCCTTAGATTTACAGAGATTGCACTGGAGAGACAAAAATTTATGACACAAATTCAATACAACAAAAAAAGTTGTATTTCGAACGGTGGCTTATAAATTTAGATTTAGATAAAAAAGGGTGCAAGAAATTAACTTGCCAATTGGAAAGAGAAAAGAGAGAAATAATAATTGATGGGAGTCTAGAGAGCGAGAGAGTCATAAACGAATAGGAGAGAGAGGAGAAATCGTTTTAGTCTCTCTCCTATTACGTGGCTGCCATGTTAGATTTGGTGATTTTTTTCGGTGGTTAGGTTCGGTAAATGTATCACTACTCTTATATTAAAAGCCATCTCTTACAATTTTAATATATTTTTTCATCTCATGTTAATTTTTGTCATCCTACCTCTTTGCCTCATACCTTCTATATAGATTAGCATTGTTTTCTTATTGAAGCATCTATGGACGGACTATATTACAAGAAAAGTTCAATCATTTTAGTAAATGCACATGCTATCACGTGATTTCTTACTAACTCCATTCACGTTAATTTTGGTCCTGCTCGGGTGCAATTAAAGATATTTTTTGCAACCAATTTTCTCTCATTTTATCTATAGTATGTGCTACTCCAATAATCTTCCCGAATGCAATCATTTCTAGTTCTATTTAAAGTATTTTATATCCAATCCTACAAAATATGAGTTCTACAACAAAAATGAATAATAGTTATATTTATTTATTTTTAATAGTTCATCTAACCTTAGTAAAGACAGGTGCGTGAATAAAAATTTGATGACATCCCCATTATTTTGTCATCTTCAATTCTCATGATTTATTTGGATATTTCATCTTACACTGCTATATTAACCCAAGGATAGAAGTAAACTAAGGGTACCGGTAAGAGAATTTTTAATACCACTTAAAATATTAAGTACGATTATCATAAAGATGGTATCATAAAGATGGTAAGTGATTTTAGTTTTTAAAATATTTTTTAATGAAAATATTACCCTATTTTAGAGTTCTCTATCACTTGTTCTACTCTATAATTTTTACTCCAATTTTTTTTTTTAAATATATATATATATATATATATATATATGCACACAGTGCATGGTTCACTCAAATTTATAATCAACAATCATGTAATGAAATCGTCACACCATTTTTATGATGCAAATCTACTATATAAATAAAGATCGAACGATTTATGCGTGAATTCTAATCTCCTTCTCATAAATATTTCATTTTCATAAGTTATTCATTTTATATGTTAATTTTGAAATTTATATGATAAGTTTTTACATTAATATCCATGGTTAAATTGATATATTTCTTTGGTGAAATTCATTATTTTATATATATGTTTATGTTTTAATATAGTATATTTTATAATAATATTATGCGTAGAAGATATTCAAGACAAATATATAATATATACAACATTTAGATTCTTTTGCATTTAACAAACAATCTTAATGAATTCAATACTCAAAATTAATACAATATCAAATAAGTTTATAGATAAATATATATTCCGTAAAATTCAGTACTTGAAATTTTTAGTGCTTAATTTTCCGTTTTATCAAACAACAGCTTAGGCTTAGTAAAAAATTTACCTGAAAAATATTATCTGTGTTTTCTGGTGTTTGGTTATCATAAAATACGAAGAAAAAAAATTAAAACCTAACAAAAATAATTTATTCATCAATTCTCAGCAAGTTATTTTGCACGTTCGACCTAATAGATTCGATTTCAACCTAAACTTTTGTCGAATACCAAAAAATAAAAATAAAAGAAAATATTTTACCAAAAAAAAGAAAATATTTTTGACGAAAAATATTTTAGTCTAAACAAATGGATGAAGCCTTAATTGCAAGCGGAAGAGAAAGCGAAAAGACAATAAATATATATATATATAGATGATTGTTTGCGGAGGGAATACCTTTTTGCATCTTTTGTGTTCCATTTTGCTTTAGCTGCTATTAGTTCCGCAATGGTTTCGTCTGCTTTTGGAACTACGTGTTGTTGCGTTTAAATCAATAGTCAAACTTGTAGAAATTAAGAACGATATAATAATTAAAGAGAGAAATTTTGCAAT